TATATATATATATATATATATATATATATATATATATATATAACTTTCTAAAATACAATGACTCTATAAATGTATAATTTAGAAATTAGATGTTATTTACATATTTGTAAAGAGAAAAAACAAAATATTGTTCTTCACTTCTACAACACAAGAAATGTCCTATCATCTTTGTCAGTCAAAGTATGAGCTTATATCTGAACATTTTATAACACAAATATAATCTTCATATAAACTTTAAAAAACAATCTTGTTTTGGCACAATAATATTTAAACAGCCTTAAATTGAAAATAATCTATAAATGGATTCGATGAATCGTTTCATATACAATGAAGGTGCGAATAATACATAAATTATGCGCGAAAAAGGAAACAAAACTGCAGCTACTACATATTATGACTAGATTTATAGCATACCGAAAATCAGTCATCTTTTTGAACGGATTTACAACAAAATAATTAACCGGTGAGTAATTTGGAGTATTATTAATTACTACAAGGTATGAAGCAACAACTGATAATAACGATCAAAGCAAAAAATATTGTCATATGAAATGATTGGCTCCAATATAGGCCATAGTCACATACAGACAAAATTAAAACAGTTTTAAATAAGTGTATACATCTAAAAAATTATCACACGATTTTGGCACATTAATTTAGGCATGTTTTCACTTGATAGTTAGAAAATATATTGCAGTGAATTGACTTTAATGTAAATTCTAAAACCCAAAGTAAAATAACCACAAATCTAGTAATATAGAATTATAATAAACAAAACGATATTGTATACAAGATAATACGTTTTAGGCCAATTTTGAAATTTTGACGTATTACTTTCTAACCTGTCAAATGATCCAATACTTTACTAAAATAGCTGTTTATTATATCGGTATACGGAACTGAGGAAACCATAGGAATATAGAGGAAAGTAGCAAATGTTGCAGAACTATTAAGACAATCACCTCCACAAAATTTCGAACATAATGACATTCGTTATTGGAATTAGGAGTTAATGAAAATGTTTCAGTATAGAACATAAAGTTGTCTTGGATTCATATTATTGTTTTATTGATTCCATGCATTCCTAAATGCACAACACTCTCGAGTTTTAAGAGTATTTATTACATATAAAAAATACTGAGCCGAGACCAGACAAATATAACAATACAAAATCATACCATAGAAAATGTTGAACATTATGTATATCTAGGTCATGTCATCAAACTAGGAAAACCAAATCAAGACGCTGAAATTAAAAGAAGAACAGAACTGGTATGGGGCGCTTTCGGCAAACTAGCATATATCCTTAACTTAAAGAAAAAGGTGTATAACATATGCATACTACCAATTTGTAGCTACGGCTTGGAGACAGTAGCCCTTACCAAAAAATCTGCTAAAAAATTAGAAACAACGCAAAGAGCAATGGAACGAATCATGCTTGGAATATCACTGAGAGACAAGATTAGAAACTCCGAGATAAGACGTAGAACGAAGATTAGGGATATTGTGGAAGAAATTACAAAAATGAAATGACGCTAGCAGGTGGACATGAAGAATTCTAGAATGGAGACCAAAAACGACAGCAAGAAGCATGGTAAGAACTCAAAAAAGATGGGTAGATGACATAAGAGCAGTGGCAGGCAAGCAGTGGATTAGATTGGCGCAAGATAAAGAAAGATGGAAGCAATTGGGAGAGACCTACATTCAGGAGTGGATGGAAAATGGCTGACAAAGAGAGTATTACATATTCATATTACAAATGAGACCAAGAGAAGAAAACATTCGAAAGCAGAAATCTAATTACAAAACTAATTAATGATGAAAACGAGGAAATTACAGAAATTAAAAAAAAACAGACGAAGCAAATTGTTGAATGGCAACCATGAGCAACTAAGAAAAGTAGAGGCATACCTCAAACCAGATAGACTGATGACGTCAAGCGAATAGCTGGTCACAAATGGATGAAAAAAAAAACAAACAGAAATGAGTGGACGTACCTTACGAAGGCCTACATCCGACGATGGATGGGATAGCTGTTGATGATGATGACTTTATTTCATAACATTGAAAAGATCAATTATATCTACTCTTACAGAGGAGAAACAAAACAGGTTTAATGTATAGTATGGAAGTTTTTCTAGTTAATTGAAAAAAAAAATTGAGTTACCATACCGGGAAGTAATCCATATATGAGTTAATGTTTAGCTCAACTGGACATTGAGCATTCAACCACAGATGAAGTTATTCCTTAATAAAAACCATACGAGATAAAGAATACAGGGCAACTATTGACCGGAACATAACTCGTGAACAGAACGAACAAATGTAATGTCGAGGAAAACAAAAAAACTTTATAATAAGAAAAATACATTGTAACATATTAATAGGTGGTTATTTTCAAGTGTTAAGATGAAAATAGTTTATTGTTGCTTGTAACTTGAAATGACACTAGTCTTATAATAAGGATTATGATTTTCAAAAATGCAAATCCGCTTAGAAAATTGTTTTTTTTTTTCAGCCAAATAAAATCGCATAGTCGAAGTTGCACAACCAAAATTATTCGCAGAATACAATGCATCATTTTGACTCGTGCAGTCAACTTTGCTGTTGTAAATGTCTGGAAGTTATATATGCTGGATCTGTTTCTACAAGCAAATTAAAGAATTGGGGTACCTAAAGGTTTCCCGAAAAAACTGGAAAAGTAGATAGAGAAGATGCAGTTTTTGTTATTACAGAGTTCAATAGATACGAACAAATGGAATTTAACTTTGTGCATTGAAAAGAAGTGTTTGTAAAAATTTATACAAAATCCCAAAATAATTTAGCATTTGCATAAACAGTTACTAGTTATACAGTTACTAGTTATTTATTGAGCTCTTTATATAATCTTGTAGTCAGCCAAGATATATGCATAGGAACAAAATCCATAGACCAGGCCTATAAATATTTAGGTTACGACATTCGCAGAGGAAGAGATAACCAAATCGTTGAGATTCCCGGTCGTATAAGATTGACTTGGGCAGCCTTCGGCAAGTTAAACCATATTTTCAAATCGTTCGACATACCAATATGTCTTAAAAGAAAAACCTTTAGTCAGTGTTGACCTACAAAGCGAAAACTTTGACTATGACAAGAAAAACACTGAAAAAGATCCGTGCGGCTCAAGATCAGGAGTGGCTGATGCTGTAGAGAGAATGACAACACTGAAGTGGAACTGGGCAGGTCAAGTGGCTTAAATGACAGATAGCCAAAGCTGAAACTCGAATGGAGACCAAGAGATGATGCTTACCTAAGCAGAGGTCGTCACCAACATGTTGGACTGACGAACTAAAAAGCTACCATAGGAATTTGATGCAAGCAACACAAGATCGAAATAGATAGAAAATTATGAGGGAGAACTATGTCCAGCCGTAGACAAACGAAGACTGAATAACGGTGAGAATGATAGTTCTTTGAATAGAAACATTCTAACAGTATAGCAGTAACTTTTAATCCCACAAATACTATCGTACTCAACTGAGTACATACTAAATTATTAATGAGTATCCCAATATCAAACCCTGTTGACAACATACAACTGACATTGGAGGGTAAACTCCTGGAAAGAGTCAACAAATATAAATACCTCGGAGCAATTATAAACTCTCAGTTAGATCAAGAGCAGGAGATAAAAGTCAGAATAGAAATAGCTCGAAAAGGCTTTATAAAATACAAGTCAATGTTTACAAATAAGAAATTGAGTATAGCCATCAGATTGAGGTTCGTCGAATGTTATGTTTGGTCGCAACTACTATATGGGGTAGAAGCTTGGACTCTGAAAGCCCAATCTATAAAAAAATTGGAGGCATTCGAAATGTGGCTATATAGGCGTATTTTGAAGATTCCTTGGACTGCAAAAGTCTCAAATGAGGAAGTGTTAAGACGAGTTGGACATGGCAGAAAGCTTATGAACACAATTAAAATAAGAAAAACATCGTATCTGGGCCACATACTCCGAAACGATAAATACTCTCTGCTACAAGTCATCATGCAAGGTAGAGTAGAGGGAAGAAAAGGCTTGGGAAGAAAGAAGAAATCTTGGCTAAGGAATATCAGAGATTGGACTAAACTCAGTGTTGAACAGATATTTCACGTTGTAAAAGATCGAGAAGCGTTTAAAGAAGTGATCGCCAACCTTCGTTAGAAGACGGCGCAAGAAGAAGAAGAACCTCAATATCAATATCTACCTAAAACCCTTATTGAAACATAATATTTAAAAAAAACACCTTTGCTTTAAATAGGATAATATTTTCTAAAAGAAACTTTATAAATAATATTAAAAATAATTGTTATATATTATAAATTATTTAATAAATTAAAAAATTGTTAAGGAATCGAATGCTGACTTAAACTGGTCGAATTTCGTATCAAAGTGTAAAGTAAACCTTATGACGATATATATTATATACGACATGAAAGCCAACAACAAAACAACACCACGTTTAGAATACTTTCCGACAAAATCGACAGCAACATATTTGTAACAAAAGGGATTATTTTAATAATGAAAGCAAGAAATGAAGATATAAATGGAGGATTTACTAAGACTACCAAATGCCGTCAAAACCTTTGAAATGTCATTATAGAAAGTTTGCGTAAAGACAAAATAATTACGAGGCCAAAATCATATACATTTATCGTCTTATGTATTATCATTTTAAAACGTTAAAGTTAAATAACAGTCAGTTAGTGATTTAGCTAAATTTTTGAAAAGTAGTTATAAGAATTTAAATTATCTTTTTTATAGTTTTGAGCAAGTGAAATTATTTAATTTTATCTGTATAGCTACGAAATTTTCCTATCTACATATAAATCTATTGTATTTAAAGTTCTTCTTCTTTTTAAAAATAAAACTATATAAAAAATGAATTATTTAAGTATTTAGTATAAAAATAAAGAAATGTATTCTAGAAAAGTTATCAGACTTTCGAAATTTTTGTTTTCGTTATTTAAAGACTACACTAATTTTTCAGAGCCGTATCTTGGATGACAGGACCTTTTCCACTGATGCTGTAATGAACCGTGTTTCCACCAGCTAGGATGGCCCCCCACATGCCAAATGTTCCATAGTCGTAGATTGTGTGGTTGCAGGAAGCCAGTATGGTCATGTCTAAAGCAGGGGAGCTGCTGTGATGTTTTCCAGTTATATAGGCATTTTTCTTGTAATGAAAATTATCCCAACACCATTTTGAATCATCACTGACGAAAATAAATATTGGATTGGAAAATTTTTTTTCATATAATTTCATTGCTGATTGGAAGAAAGTTTTATCGACAGTAGTTGAATTATATTTTCTTTTGACATAACTAATGTAGTCAGTTCTTCTTACATGAACTCCTATGAAAGTTTCAACAGGTGTTTTTACGTACTTAACAGCTGCATGTAATATTTTTTGACTTTTTTCTACGAGACTCTTTTTAATACTAAACTCATGAATAATATCTTGGCCCCAGTTTAATAATAATGTAGGTTGCATGATGTATCTCGGCAAAATAACACTTTGATTAGTAAAATTCCACGCTTCTAAAAAAGAATCGATAGTAAATTGTGAAGCTGACGGGATGATAAAAAATTCCTTTTGTACTAGACAGTGACCGATTTCATCCAAAGTTGGCACAGATAATTTATCAAACATCGAATCCAACTTCAGCTTAATACACCGAGGAATGTACGGCTCCAAGCCGGTTTCTCTAGCTAAAGCCCAAACTGCCGCGTATTCCCATATTTGATTGCCTAGTCTACCACCTTGTTCCACTGTAATAATTCCATTTTCCGGACACTTTCCCGGTTTTAAAGGCTTCTTTTTTCGAATATCGTTTAAACAAAGGCTTTGTTCCAAATCCAAGTAAGTCCTTATAACGTTTGGAGTGGTGTTTGTTTCAAATAGAGGAAATAAAAACAAATGAACACAAGATATAATGCACAATGCTAAAACGATACCTTTAAATAATAAATTGCGGTTATTACTGAACATGTTTGCTTACTTTTAATGATCTGAAGCACTTTTACTAACTCTAAATATAAGCATTTTACTAGGCGATTGCCTACAATATCTCACCCTAGACTGAAGCCACTACATTCTTTCTGTATAATTTTATATTGATTTTTGGTTTAAATTACCAAGCATGCGCTTGTGACAATAATATGAAAATAAATAAACACATAAGTTTTCTGGAAAACAACCTAAATTCAAAATAATAAATGATTAAGTAAATAATAAATAAGTTACGTATTTATAAAAATAATATCTAAATTTTATTTCAAAGAATTTAAATTCAATGTTGGCAGGCCTGCTTTGACGACGGACGTGTAAACTTCAGAAGCTGTACAGGAACGTCGAACCTTTTCATAAATATAATTTTATTCTTTTCATGGAAGTAGACACCAAAACTTGTAAAAGTATATTTTTTAATAAGTTTTTTTTTATTGAGTTATAATGTTCGAAATAAAGTTGATATTTTCTCTTCTACTATTATGATTTTTAAGACGGTGATAAGAATTGTCTGATAAAATTAAATGCCATTTTCTAGGCTACTTGAATTTGGCGCCTAGAATAAACAGCACATTGACAGATAGAGGGCAATAACATGGGAAAGGTAATTTGCGTTGTTTTTGACTGGTGGTTGAGTGTTGTGTGAGTGAGGTGATTGGGATAAATTCCGGCTTCTTTACAGTAGGGGTCTAGCCTTAAAATCACAAATTTGTATTCCTGTAAAAACAAATGAACTTAGCGGGAAATGGCTGACGAACAGGTCTGTCTTATAAAATTTCATTACAAACCCTTACACGTATTTTAAGTACTGCATCCAGTAATAATTACGCCAATGTTACAATGTTTATCACGTTAGTTACGTCCCTTACTTTACTATTGTTCTAATCGAGACTATTTCTCAAAAATATGAAATAAAATGAACAAAAAATATAAACACAAGGGTGTACTGAACAGTACTTATAGCACAATAAAAAATTTATAGGGATATTTCATAGGCGTATCCCTAAGGATATTTTCTAATTTGTAAATTACATTTAAGATAAGTCATTTATTACTAGGCAGTTTCATAATAAATCACAATTGAAAAATTTTTGGCTTATGTTAAAATTTTTCAAGTTTCCAGGTTTTTTCCTATTATCTACAGTTTATCTAGGTTTATTAATAATAATTATTTGATAATAATTTCCTTTATCATACAATATTTGGATTTTGGAATGAACTCTACTATTTTTACCTATGTTTCAGGAGATAAGGCAATTGGAACTTCTTTGCAAACAATTGTATGAATCCCAAGACACTAGTGTAAGAGCTGAAGCTGAAAAAACTTTGGTAGTATTTCAATCAGGCCCTGATGCACTTACTAAATGCCAAGTTCTTCTGGATAGAGGAGACTCTTGTTATGCACAGTTATTGGCTGCTACCACCTTGACCAAACTAGTGTCACGGAGTGCACAAGGCTTAAGTTTACAACAGAGAGTGGATATTAGGAACTATGTTTTGAATTATTTAGCAACTAGGCCAAAACTTCCTAATTTTGTTCTTCAGGCATTAGTTACATTATTTGCTAGAATAACAAAGCTGGGATGGTTTGATTCACACAAGGATGAGTTTGTATTTAGAAATGTTGTGGCTGACATAGGAAAGTTTTTACAAGTGAGTTTTTATATTTTTATGTATTGATATATTTTATTGTCATAGTTATAGTTACCCCTATAAGTTATGGTCTATAAACACAATGATTTTGTTTACCCATTCCATTTGTTTTCTCCTGCTTTTTATTATTTTTTTTTTTGGCTTCTTTCACTTGGTAATAAAACTTGTTTCAAATTGACATTTTCCATTTATTTTATTTTGCAGTATGTAGTTTTGTAGACCTGGAATCTGGAATTTACTGTAACTTAAGAGGTTGTAATTCAAGAGAAGTAAAGTAGGTACTTTTAAAAACTAGGCCTATGTTAACTCAGTCTGAATAAAAAATACCTTGTGTACAAATAAGGCTACTAATGTGCAGTTGAAGTATACTTTTGGTACTTTTTTGTATGCCTTACGGCCAAGGTTTAGCAGACTAATATCTTACGATATGATAAACTGCTCTTATAGTGTCAAAAGAAGAATAGTATCCTTAGTATGTACAGTTCTTATCGTTTGGAAACTATTCAACATACAATTTAAAGATATTCGATATCTGATGTATATTCTCTTTTAAGAATCAGCTTAACAAATTTTTATTCCAATCAAATTTTTCTTTGTATATTGCTTTCTACACTCCCTATAGAGTGTTCAACACTAAGAAAATAACATTGCAGAGATAGGGCAATGTATTTCTTATGGATGATAGAACTGCTGTGATGCCACGACAAACACAAGGATGATTCAGGGTTGTATAATTTGTATTTTTGTTTCCACATACATGAATTAAATTAATGTTTTTTAATGTAATTGACCAAAAGTGCCCATTCGAAACAAGAGATGAAAAGTAGGGAAAATGATTTTAATTATAGTAATGACAGTTTATTTGTTTTTCGGTGAGAATACCATATGCTATGAATCATAGAAATCAGTAGAAAATATTGCTTAGCTAAATCATGCATTTTGCCTGCTATTAAAGATTTAAAAGCAAATAAACGGACCACTTGGAATTCATATATCTAATTGCTAATTGCGACTTAAAATAATATGGTGTGCATATGTCAGCGATTTTATGTAGTTCTCTGACTACATAATGATAATAAGGCTTTGTGGTTCTTTAGTAGTTATTCTGACTTTACAGTTAAATGTTAATTGAAAATGTAAATTCAAAAATTAAGCCAAGGGAATATCTTCATATCCTTTCAAAAGAGAGTGCCTCAGAGTTTTGGCAACACTGATCTTCATAACTGTAATGTTATTTTCTTAACTTGAAACAAAGTATAGTATCATATATCTAGGTACATAGCAGACTTCTTTCCGTTTTTAATATTACATTTTATTTTGGATACTGTGTTGGAATGTCATAATTTATTGTTCTATACTAATATAATATTCTAATATACTCTTATATTCCATATACTTTTACAAAATATTTTTCTGCCTTATAATAATTATTTTACTCTAAATAAAGATATTCAAAGATGATAATATTTACAAAGAAGTTTAATTTAATGTGTTTAATGGCAGTACTGAATATTTAAAATGTGACTATGCAGAAAATTTTTTGGTGATATAGTTATCTCTGTTGTTAGTAATTTTTAAATATGTCAGTGGTTTAAATGTGTTAGTGGTTATCAGTGACATAGCTAGCATTTTATTTCAGGGGGTGTCTACTTGTTTAAGTTCACCCTCTTTCTGCAAAACATTTAGAAATTCAATCCAACAATGAATTTTTTAATTTAATCTTTTAAATCTTTTAATCTTTTAATTGAATCTTTTAATAATTGTTTTTCATAACACGAATACTTACTCTTTTTAATATATTTTTTGAATAAGGAGTAGTTTGTCATTAGTGAAAAAACTTGCATAGAAAAATGATGATTCAATCATTTGACAATGATTCTAATAAAGTATTTTTTGAAGTATTATTAGTGAATATGTCGGTAGACATATGAGAAAAAGTATTTGTAAGAAAAAGAATTGATTTTTATTTTAAAAAATTTATAATTTATAAAATGTTTTTCATGACATTAATATATTACTTTGAAATTGCATGATTTGATATCATGGGGTGTCAAAAATAATAGCAACTTATAGAAATATTTTACTGAAATGCAAAATTACAAGTTTTAAAGTAACCAGAAAAACAACACAAATAATAATAAAAGTAAATATAGTTATAATTTGATTTTTGTACTTTTTTTTGCCATTGCCATAAAACATTGTCTGAATTGACATCTATATTCCAGTTACACAATAGTAGGGCAATCTCAGTAAGCCTTTCATTACTGGTCCTATTCCTCAAATAGGTTTTTATTTGCTTCATAGGGAAAATGAGGGCTCAACACTGGTCATAGTGACAGGAATAGTAATTTACACTTTCAAGTCCGCCGACACGGCTCCCGTGTTCTTTATGTTATCAATCAGGTGTCACTGCCACATTTACCGTGTTTACATTTCAGCCATTTTGTAATGGCTCTATAAATCGCATTGCTGTGTATAAGATGTTATTATAGGATCGGAGATTTAGCCTAGGCATTGGATTATATCGAATTGGTGATGGTTTTTATTTTACATATTCTGCTGAGTGATTTTTTAAATGTTCCACATATACGAAATATGGACCTTTGTTTGTACTATTATATTTATTATTTAAATTAAATGCGGTTATCTCTTTAAATTCGTTCGATAATGTATTTGTATATTATAGCAATTATAGTAATTATTATCCCAGATTTAGCCATATGGCTCACACTCCTTCTAAGGGGAAAATTCACTCATCCCAGATAACTACGGTATTCAAAGGATATAGCTCTGGTGGGACTCTTTCCGTGTTATCGAGCCCTAGGTGACTTGGTATGTTGGAGTATTTCCCAGAAATTTTCGTACACATCTGGACGTCGTGAGGAGTACAGCTTTCTGCATGGCCTTATAAAGATGTTCATTTAGACCCAGCTGTTTTATGTTCGCTAGGAGGTTTTTGGGAATAACACCAGTAGTAGATAGAACAATAGGTACTGTCTGGGTACTTTCCATTCTCCATTGTCTCTTGATTTGTATTTCCAGATCTCTATACTTGGCGATCTTTTCGTTGTATTTAACACGCAAATTGTTAGTGTTAGGTATCGCCACATCAATAAGTGTTGTTTGGTGCGCATTTTTTCTTGCTTAGTCAGATGGTTTATGCGCATTTCTTGTTCCCTCAGTTTAAGCGGCGTTGTGTCATCTTCTGCGCAAATTGCTCGATGTAAAGTAGATGTCTCAGCCTGTACCTGAAAATAAGTTCTTAAATTAGCAATTTTTTTATCTAATTGCTCACCTATATCCATAAGTCCTCTTCCTCCTTGATACCGCGGCAATGTTGTTCTCTCTTCTGCACTGCGTGGATGATGTTTTTGCGCCTTTGTGAGAAGTGTTCTTACTTTCCGCTGAAGACCTTCTATATCCGTTTTTGACCACTTTATAATACCAAATGAGTAGCTCAGCGCGGAACAGGCGTACGTATTTAATGCCTTAAACAAATTTTTACTATTAAGATATGACCGATTTAGTTGTCTTACTCTTCGCACGAACTCCGAAGTCAGTTCAGTTTTCATCTGTTTATGGTCAATTTTCCGCGCCTGTTTTACTCCAAAGCAAGCAGAAATCAGCTTAAAGGCAGAACAGACTTCCTTGCTGGACATTTGCTAGTCAATGAACACCTTTATACAATGGGGCTGTTTTTTGGAGACTTAAGCTGTAGACTAAAGAATTTGAAACAGTCGACCATGTTTGATATGACTGCGAGCATGATATAAAGAAACAAGATATGCTCACACGCATCTATTTTGAATAGCCAATCGCGTTTACGACCAAAATCCGCCATTTTGAAGGCGGCAATTCAAATATGTACAAAATTGATAAAAAACATCGTAGTTAAATAAAATAAAATAAATATTATACATTAATCCAATTAATTCAGATCTAAAATGATCTGAACAGACTCTGGCTAAAATAATTTAAAAAAAATCGAAACAAAACAAAAACAAATTTACTTTTAAATTCCAATACATTGCAAAGTAAGGTTAAAAATGCAAAACACTTTGCTGGACGTAAACAAAGCAGACGTCACGCATGTGACGTATTGAAAAAATGGTGGATTTAGGTCGGCGCAGCGATGTGCAAAAACGGGTCCACCTTGTGAGCATACCTTGTTTCCTTATATCATGACTGCGAGGCACTAGGTTGAAGGCAGCAAACACTTTTTGGAAAATACAAAGTCACTCCAAAAATATATGGTACCACTCCACTAGATCTGTAAAAGCTGGTACAAGGTTCCGAAATTAGAAGGGTACAATGGATAAATTGAAAATATACCATAAGCCAATTGACTGCATTATGACTGGTTTATAACAGCCGGCTTCTGAAAAGAAAGGCTTATGTATGTCAATTTATTTTACTTGTATGATCTTTGGCAATATGCTAATGGCGTACCAATAAGTAATTTTTGATATGCAGATGATACTGCTATACTAGCCGATCACATCAAAGATTTATAGATGATGCTCAATAGAGTAAATACTACAGGCAACCAATTTCAAATAAAAAACAGAAAGAACACTAAATTTCTGGTGATTAGTAGAAAACAAGATTCAAAATATCGACTTGCGTATTTAAAGCGAAATATTGAAAGGTTACACCGATTCAAATGTCTGGGATATAAAGTAAATGGTAAGTGGGACCCAGACGTAGAGATTAAGATCCGAACTGAAATAGCAAGATATAGATTCATAAAAATGAAAAAGCTCTTAAGCAACCCAACCTAACCGTTAGCATCCGATGGCGCGCCACGAAATGTTACGTACTCTCTACGGTACTTTACGGAGTAGAAGGGTGGACGTTGACAGCGGCAGCTATAAAAAAGTTAAAGGCTATACCTGCAAGGAAATGTGGATATACCGATGTATACTGAAAATACTTCGGATAGACAGCGTGACCAAAAGAGATTTTGAACGAATAGTTAAAGAGATGGAATTATTAACAACTGTTAAAAGGAAGAAAGAAAAGTGTCATATTTGAGTTTAGCACTATAAACCCATAAGAATAAGGTGTGTTAAGTAAAAAAAATCATCGTTGGCCTGTGCAATCAAATAAAAACTGGTATACTCTCAAGGAATATGATTGAGTTGGTAAGCTCTTCTTATTCTTTATTACGAGTAGGCGTTTATTGCCTGTTCCGATATCAAACTTCATCTTTTCAATAGGCGTTCTACACATTTTCTTCTGTTTGGTTTGTAATTTAATTTTTTTTTAATTTTTGGGTAATTTTTATATATTTTAAAGATGTTGATTAAACCTGAGTAAATTTTTTTTTGCAAAATTTATGTACAGGGGTTAAAAAATGCTGATGTCATATGGTATGGTATAATCGTTTTCATCGTTCTTGGCGTGTGCGTGTAAAAACACTTGCAATAAGTTGTTTCATCTGTCTTTCCTTGTCTAAGCTCGATTCGTTTACCTCCTCCAGTGGCGGAGCAAAATGTAGCATGTCAAACGAAATAATAGTTATAAAAGAAAATTATAAATTATTTTTCATTAAATTTCTAATAACGGAATATACGTATAAATTGCGAAGAAGTATTTTTCTAGCTTGCAGTACAATAGGACAGGATATAACGAACAGTACATTTTTAAAGGATTTTGAAATATACCCAAAAAAGTGTTAATTATTTAACCCACTTTAATTAAAAAATGATACAGATTTTTTAAGTTTTAAGCACTGTAGCGAATTCTGAACTGTTACAACGTACTGACCTTGATTAATAAGCTAATCAGTCAGCGTCTTCACTTGAACTGTCTTCATCATTGGAATCTTCCGCCAAATCGATGATAATCCTACTTTCATTTTCATCATATGTGACCATTTTTGCGCAGTCGTCCTGAATTAATTTTTCAGTATGGTTAACACAACTCGCCCACACTGCAGGTGTTGCCTCAGCTGATGCATCGCCCCAAACTTTTTTCACTGTTTCATCTCCACGTCCATGTTCTCCAATATGACGATCATAGTATTGTTTAGAAATGCCCCAGACCAACTCAATCGGATTATATTGACAGTGATATGGAGGCAATGTCAAAACCTGATGCCCATGTTCTTGGAGTAGCTCGTCTATAACGTACCTGGTATTTTGTGGTTTATTCTGGCGACAAAGACTCAATAGCTCTGTCTTGCCCAAATCGTCGTCAAAAATTATTTTTTTCGCTCGTTACTATTCTTGTAAGTCCGATTTTTTCCAACTGGCATTCGGTAACTTTTCTAATAAAGAATATAATGTGAGAAGACATTACACAACAGTACATGAAAATAAGTATGCTACGTACACAAATGAAACTCGGCGTGGCTTAATTGCAGATTTGAAGAAAAAGCTTAAACAGCAAACTGGTATGTTCAGTAAAATATTACGCTCTCAAACGCATTCTTTGCATGCATGTTATGCTGTGTCGCTTGAGCTGGAAAAGGCAAAAAAACTTTCACTGATGGCAATTTGATAAAAAAATGTGCTGTTGAAATGGCCAAAGCTTTCGGTGATTCTAAAATGGCGAAGAAATTTGAATCAGTGCCACTTTCACATTAAACCGTACAAAGAAGGATTGTTGCTATGGGTGAGCAAGTAGAAAAATCTATGCTTAGCCTGGTTAAGAAAAGTTCATATTTCTCACTTTGTTTGGATGAAAGCACTAATCAAACCAATGTTGGTCAGATGTTAATATTTGTGCGCACTACTTTTGATGATTTTACCAGTAAAGAGGAGTTATTTGATATTTGTCCTCTTTATGGAACAACAAAAGGAAAAGACATCTATAAGGCTGTGAAGAAAACAGTTGACAGAATTTGAGGCTTTGATAAATGTTCAGCCATAGCAACAGACGGGGCCCCATCAATGTCAGGTAAAAAAATTGAATTAGTGGGTCTGCTTCGAGAAAATTGTGTCACTTGCCCAACAATTCATTGTATTATACATTAGGGAGCTTTATGTGGAAAATCAGTCAAGGAAGATCAAGTTTTCCAAACCGTGATTAAGATTATAAATATGATTAGAGGTGGAAATCGATCTCTTTTACATAGGCAACTTAAGCAGTTTTTAATGGAAACAGAGGCTGAGTATGGAGACTTGCTAATGTACAACCATGTAAGGTGGCTGAGTGGAGGAAAGCATAAGAAAGAAAATCGCTGCATTATAAGTAAAGTCGTCCCAGGAGCGCAACTCAACAATATTGGCAATATCATTTTAAAGTCGTCTACTTTAAAATGCATAATGTATGTCTGAATTGTCAATATAAATGAGTCAGATAAAATGAAATTATTAGAAGAATTTTTCACTACTATTTTCAACAAAAAACAGAATTTGTTTAATTTACTGTTTGTATTTTGAGAACGATTTCCGAAGTGGAAATTGAAACGTCAATAAACGTATTTTTATCTTTAATTGTGGCTTATTCCCAGTTAAATAGTAATTAATTTACAATGCCACAAGAAAATAGCTTCAGAACAATATTGAGTCTTCAAGGAAGAAACCAGACGGTTTCAGATTTGATCGGAATGATAAACGGATTCCGGAATAAGCTGATCGTGTTTAAACGTGCTTTGGAAAAGAACAATTCAACGGTGAGAAAAAGATTGAGTTTTCATCCTGGATTTTACAAATTGAACAAGTTATTGATGAATTCAATACAAGATTTGAAGAAATTGAAAGTATCAAAAGCAGTGTACTACTTTATAATAACTCTCTTGGAACAACCATTGATGATCAACCACCCAACTTACAGATTGAGTTATGTGATCTTCAAGCAGACATGTTCCTAATCACCAGACAAGAAAAGGGACCTGAATTTTTCAAATTACTGTCAAAGGAGAAATTCCCAAACATGCGAGACTTTGGACTGAAAATGACGTCAATGTTCGGAAGCATATATACATGTGAAAGTGCCTTTTCCTCCATGAGATACATAAAAAATAAAAACAGAAGCAACCTTAACGATTCTTCCTTACGTCATCTTATGAGAGTGTCTACAACTGAACTGGAGGTGGACATTTCTTCATTGGTGGATGAAGCCGATCGACCACAGTTCTCACACTAATTGGATACATTTTTTTCGTTGCTTTTGCAATGTTTGTCTTGATTATTGAAAAGTGTTATCAATAAATTTTCCGTTTATAAAAAAATGTAGTTGTTCAACAATAAAAGAAATAATTTTCTTTCTCTTTTTTGTTTTAATTATTTTTATACCTCACTTTATTTTGTTATTACTTGTAACAAAATTATTATATGGCCCGTGACAACATCAAAGATTTTAGTTTTGGCCCTTGAGGCATTGCAAGTTGGACACCCCTGTTATAGATCATTCTTCCTTCGTCCTAGTTAGCTGAATCCTCTTCTGATTCTGCATTTACTTTTGGTACGGTTATAAATATCTCATCAACTTGCTGAACCAGGTCGTCATCATCATATATCATATTGAATGCTTCGGATAGTGAAAAACCTTTACTAAAATAAAAGCTGTATGTATTGCAATATGTCACTATTTTGTCCTAAACGTCCTCGGATACCAAATTGTATCATGTTAATTTAGGGCATCATATCAAAAACAAATTAAAACTAATTTAAAATATTTAAAACTTTAAAAAAACTTACTAAAATATGCAATACTACTGCAAAAATATACTTAAGCCCATTAAACATCCATAATTTCGACTAAAAATAAAAAATGTTCAGGAAAAAAAAATACACACCAATAAAACACACAGCAGTCGGCTTACATAAGAGATAGAATGAAAGTCTGTCATGTCTGCTAACCTTGAAACTACCACTAAAACAATTCCAGTGGTGCCTCAATAATATTGAGATTATTGAGAGAAAATTTTATACCATATACCATATACCATATGGTATTTAATGGATTTTCATCCATTCTGTTGATATGTTAATCCCATTTTATTCTGCACTGTTTTATTTTCTCATTGATCTAGTAATTATTCTATCTATCAAGTCTTTTAATACATTTTGCTCTTCTGAGAAATCTCATTTCGTTAGCTGGAATTCATTTCTAGTTATCCCGGCGTCATTAAAAAGCTTTTAGATCCGTACATCAGAGTTGTTGGCCATTATTTTATAGTTTTAACATTATATCGCAAACGATATAGTGTGGTTATTCGCATAATTTTAATTGTCTAACTATGTTAAAATTGTTGATAATATCTAAAATATTGTATGTAGGTATATAGAAATTATTTTTATTTTGGGCGTAAATCCCAGTTTTAATGGCATTACTTGTATTTTTTAGGGTACTGCGGAGTACTGTATGATAGGTGTACAGTTATTATCTCAACTTACTTGTGAAATGAATCAAATTTCAGAAGTTGAAGCTAATAGGTCACTTACGAAACATCGCAAGATTGCGTCCTCCTTTAGAGACACTCAACTATTCGAAATTTTTCGCCTTTCTTGTACTCTCCTAGGAAATGCAAGAGAAAATTGCAAAAGTCTTAATTTTAACGATGAAAATCAACACGGATTAATGACACAACTTTTAAGATTGGCGCAGAATTGTCTTACCTTTGATTTTATAGGTATGTTAAAACATTTATACTTTTAAAACATTGACGTATATCAATGCACGCATATTTTCGTGAATTTTAATACATATTTTTTTAATAATTAAATGCCTATATCATCATACGAGGCTTGTCCAATGCAAACCCATCTTTGGTACAGAAAAATTTTTTTGCAAATATAGCCAGAGAAGAATACTTAAACAGCACTTAAAGGAAGCAAGACAAAAGGGTCAGAAAGCATCGCTAAATTATAATAAGCTAAACATAAAAAGACCATAAAAATTATTGGTGCAAAGACAAAAAACTGGGATTATATGTAAAAGCGGAACATAGAAAAGTCCAAACTTTTAGCACAACTAAAATAATAACGCAAGCGAATATTGAAAATGCGTCTATGGGATTTAAAGAGACTGTAAAGAAAACTTAAGAAAGCAGTGATGGAAACATGATGACGAAAATAGCATTGAAAGAGAACAGCATAAGAAAAATAGATAAAAAAGAAAAATAGAGTAAATTTAGGAACCTGGAACGTTCAAACGTTATTGAGACCAGGGAAAATGGAAGAGGTAGCAAGAGAAATGCAAATATGACTTACTAGCACTGCACGAAGTAAGATGGAAGGGAGAAGAAAAATTACACAATATACCACTTGGGGGAAAACCAGCAAGGGAAAAATGATACAGAATATATGATCAACTATAAGATAAGCGACAAAGTTATAGAATTGAAAACTATAAATGGACGAATGTCATATTTAAAAATAGAAAACAAACATGCCAATATGACAATCATAAACTTATATGCAACCCCCTCTGTCGCTCAGTGGTAAGAGAGCCTACCTTTGAACCTAAAGGTCGTGAGTTCGAATCTCACCTGGGTGGAGATTTTCGTTTATTAAAAAAATTAATAAATGAAAATAATTTCTATCCTTGTGCGATCGGTACTCACCGGAGAGACCGTAGACGTTCGGATACAATTAGCGTCTCTTAGCAAAGGCAATGACGTCGACTTTGCTAAGTATCAAGACAATTACTCTACACACACACAACACACACACTACACACCTGACTGTAAAAATTCACTGTACCATGCCAATGACCATTAGTTGTCGACGCATTAAACCCAATAAAAAAAAACTTACATGCACCCACAGAAGATGGTCCAGAAAATGATAAAATTTAATTTTATGAATAACTGGAAGTAGTAAAGAAAACCAAAATAAGGAAGTAGCAGGGAAAGAAACTATTCACACGCACTAAGTATACACTTCATGCATAGAAGAGAACATAAAGTAACATAGCTGGTACCTGGCACAACAGATCGCAATCATATAGATCACATACTAATATCAAAAAATGGAAAACAATAATACATGACGTCACATCGTAGAGAGGAGCAAACGCTGATACATACCATTTTGTAGTAATAGGGGTAATAAAAATGAAGGTAATTAAAACAGAGAGAACGACACAGGACAAAAGAAAACCTGGAGAAGTTAAGAGTACAGAAACAAAGAGAACAATATGAGACAACCTTAAAGGAAAATCTAACAGAAGCAAATAACACAGACGAAATATGGAAAAATATAAAAAATAATCCCTTTTAAATTCAGGAGGTGCTAGGACAGGTTCGATACAGAATGCGATATAAAAATCAGACAGAAAACCAAGCAAAAATTATGGATATCAATTAAAGAAGAACGTCATTGAAATAAATACAAAGAAAAAAGCAACTAGCAGACCAATGTTGAAAAAACAAAAAATCCGTGGATAAAAGAATTTTTAAAGGACCTAGAAGAGAATAGTAACGACAGCGCTTAACTTTTTAGATGCCTAGAAGCTCAACAAAGAAAATGCAGACCAGTGGTTAAAAATGACAATGAATTATGACACACGTCACAGAATTATATAGATACAAACAAAGTCCTGAAGAGGAAGAATGCGCAATGGAAGACATGAGAGATAATGAAATGGGAATACCAACATATGATCAATATACATCATTAAAAAAATGAAACAAAAAAATTATCTGGCGCAGATGAAATTCCCAACTAGTTAATTAAAAAAGGAGGGGAAAATTGTTAAAAAGCATCTACAACCTAATGGTTAGAATATAGAAACCATAAGAAGTGCCCGAATATTGGAAAGAGGCAGAATTATACTAATATTTAAGAAAGCAGAAACAGACTATACCAACTATAGAGGAATATCTCTACTGAGTACAACATACACAATTCTAACAGCTCTCATCAGATAAAAACTCACTCAATTCACAAATCAGATTAACAAAAATGACTATGGATGGATCTCGATCTTAAATATCAACAGAAGGTGGCACAAACTCAATTGTAATAGAAACATGAGTGCGACAAGACGATTCCCCATCAACCACACTATTCAGCATAGCAGTAGAAGGTACAGTCAAGGCCAGTGGAACTATAGCCCATTGCTCAACAGAAATGGTAGCATATTATGCAGATGACATAGTTCTTATGAGAAGAAACAAGGAAAGGTTAAAAGAAGCAGTAAGAATCTTGGCAAATGAAGTACGGGAAGGAGGTCTAGAAATTAACGAAGGGAAAACAAAATATCTACTTTGCTTTAGAAGAGAATATAAAAATACGAGAGAAATCAAGATAGAAAACTGCACTTTTGAAAAAATTGAAGTAATTGTGAATGGCACAATGAAGAGAAGTGAAGAAGTAACGGAACGAATACTAGCAGGCAACAAAACATACTGGAGATATAATAGTTCATGAAGGTCAAGAACTTATCCAGGAATAGAAATCTGAAAATATACAGAGTTGCAATCATACCAGTAGTTATATACGCTGCTGAGACATAAAGATGAAGACAAATTAAGAATATTCAAAGTAAAAATCCTCAGAAGAATTATGGGCCTGACAAAAATGGAAAACGAAGAAATTAGAAGAAGAATGAAACATGAACTAAGAAACATAATGAATGGAGAAGATATAGTTAGATTTATTAATGCACAAAGACTGAGAAGGCTGGGGCACATATAGAGAAGGAAAAACGGCCTCCTGATTAAGAAGGTCACCAGATAAAAGCCAGAAACTGATGGACCAAGGGGAAGACCCAGCGAGAGATGGGAGGACCAGGTCATGAGAGATATCAAAATCCTGAAAGTGAGACACTAGAGGGAACTATGCACAGATCGAAAGGAGTGGAAGAAAATTGTAACGAAATCCAAGTCATTCAAGAAACTGTGATAATGCATAAGAATAATGCAGAATTATGGAGAATGGTCATGAGAGATATCAAAATCCTGAAAGTGAGACACTAGAGGGAACGATGCACAGATCGAAAGGAGTGGAAGAAAATTGTAACGCAATCCAAGTCATTCAAGAAACTGTGATAATGTACAAGAATAATGCAGAATTACTCGCCGCAATAAGCGATTCAGAGAGCTCTAAGTAACAGCAGCAACCATTACATCAGGAATGAAAGGCGTTGATGATGATGCTCCTATTGTTTCACCAACCGATGTATACCCTGTTTAAAGAATTCTTGTGGTTATTGTTCAAAGAATTATTTAACCACATTTTGTACTTCTTCGTCCGACTGAAAACTATAACTTTTAACGCCTTTTTCAGTAGCCCAAATATGTAAAAATCGCAAAGTGAAAATCAGGACTATAAGGTGGATGCTCTAAAATCTTCCATTTCTTTCTTTGTAGATTTTCTTTAACTACTTTGGCAACATGAGGCCGATCATTCTCCTAGAGTGTAGAGGAATTACACCAGGTGAAAGCTTCCCTGAACGTTTTCGTTTTATTGTTTGATGGAGCTTGTTCAAAGTTTTATTATACGGTCCATATAAGGGTCCTTCATAGTAAAAAAAATAATAACGGTACTTTGTCTGCAAAAGCTTGAACTTTAAACCTCTTTGGTAGCGGAGAATTTGCGTGTTTCCATTGCATCAATGGCATCTTACTGGATGGTTCAAAATAATGACACCAAGATTCGACACCAGCAATTATTGATGAAAGAAACTCATTATTTAGCTTTTTAGCTGTATTACCGATAGGTGTTATAAAGATGAATCCATTCGCAAGCTTTTTTGGTCCTCTGACAAAACTTTGCTGTAACCAATTAAATTTTCGACACTATTCCTTAACAGTTAGATATGCAAAACTGCGTTTCTAAACTTCAGCACGCTGGAATATTTGGATTCATTGTTAACAACGCACGCCATTTTTAAGTCACAATACTTAAATTCGCCGTCAAATGCAAGTGATAGAAACGGATCAGTGTGACATTTAGAAACATAACTAACATCTCAGAACGTCATTTAATTGTTCCCAAGGCTAGCCTGACCAAAGATGTATTTCAATTTTAAAAACGTATATTTTAACTCGGCGAATACTATTTTGATATAAGGTTGAATGCTCAATAAGTGAACTTTGATAATATAAAAGGCAACTATCGAGCACAGTTTAATTAATTTAATCTTGCCCAAGTACTTTCGATCCCTAGATCATCTTCAGGGGCATTTCGTCAATTGCGGCCTATCCTACAAGAATAAAATATCATAAACATAAAATGGTACATTACACTACACTACACAAGGACAAACACTTTAAAATTTTTGAAAATAGGCGAAGCTACATTGTGTATAGAAGCCGGAGACAGAATTCTGATTCTTTATTGATTCTCTTAAACGCCTAGCAGAGGTCTAATGTCTGTGTGTTTACGTATTTTTATTGGAGACTTTATATTATGATGTATTAGATATTATATCGCCCTAGTTTTTCTTGTCAAGTTTCTCACAATTTGTCAAAAGGTGTAGTAACCCTTACCTTAAGGAACAGATTTTGTTATTTTATGTCTAATCAAGTGTCATATTCAGATATTTTAGATTTTACCTTCTTCACAAATCTGTATGCAGTTTTCTAAACTATTCGCACTACTGGACAAATATCTTCCTCATAATTTTCCATATGTTTCGATTTTCTGTCTCTTGTATCGAATTTTTCAGGCAACGTTTTCGATCGTTAGTCCATCGTGCTAGTGGACGACCTTTTTGTTCTTTGTCCATCTGTTTGTGTCATTCGAGCCATCCGACCTGCCCATTTCCATTTCAGTGTTGCTTTCTTTCAATAGCATCAACCACTCCTGATCTTCGTTGTAGGTTTGGAATCGTGTCCTGTAGGGAAATGCCTCCAACATAGCAGGCTCCATCATCCTTTGAGCCAAACGGATATTTTGCTCTGTTTTTTTATTATCGTCAATGTTTCTGCTCCGTAAGTCAACACCGACAACACACATTGATTGAAGGTTCTTCTTTTAAGACATAGTGGAAAGTCGGATGATTTCAAAACATAGTTCAATTTTCCAAAGGTTGTCCAAGTCAATCTTACATGACGTAGAAACTCAACGGTTTGATTCTCTTTTCCTATTTGAGTCGCGTGACCTAGTTGTTTATAGATCATTACCTGGTCTATGGATCTTATTCCTACGCATATATTTTAACTGATTACAAGATTTATCATCATCTGGTTTCTAGACATATTGATTTTCAATTTCTCTCCTAAAAAGAAAGTTAGAGGTGATTTATAAGTTCCTTGGCCTCATCTCAGCTATGAGCACAATATCATCTGCAAACTTTAGATGGCTAAGCTTTTCTCTGTTTACATGTATGCCCTTGTCGGTGAGATTTGCCCTTTTACATAATATTCCATAAGTGCAGTGATTAATTTCGAATATGGTGTCCACCTGACGTCCTGCACTTTGTATTGGGAATTTTTTAGTTTGACAGTCACCCACTCTAACACTAGGTGTGACATTTTGGTATGTGTTTTAATTATATTTATATACCAATAGTCAATTCGGCATTTGAAATAGGTTTCCAACATTTTTTATTAGTTTATGGTGTCGAAGTCGTTTTCATAATCCACAAATATTAAATCTATTGTTTTATTATATTCAGTACATTATTCTATACGATTTTTTATTACCAATAGATGATCGTTTGTTCCATAACCTTTACTAGAACCAGTCTGTTCTATGGGCTGATAAAATTCCAGTTTGATTTATAATCTTCTAAAATTCTCTAAAATGTCGGCGTTATGGCACTGAGTTGGTGTAACCACTTCCTGTAGATATGTATTAACTAATTTGGCAAGGGCAATCCATAATTTTTTTCTAGCCACTTTCAAGGCATCCGCCACTATTTCATCGCTTACGAAAGACTTATTGTATTTCATTTCTTGCACCGACCTTCTAACTTTATTTGGCGTTACGTCCAATGAAATTTCAGATCCCTGATTTATTATCTTTAGTAATGATCGACTCTGGATATATTGCAGTGCTTTGTTTGGTGGGCTACAAAAGCTCTCTAATTTGATCTCGATTTTCAATGATTTGTTCTTGTTCATTTCTTATTTCTAGATGTTTTTTATTCCAAATGACATGTTCTGTCTGAGTACTTTCAAACTTTTGTTTTCTTCTATTACTCTTGATATTTCCACCGTGTTATACTATCTCAGATTCTTTTTAACCTCATTTTTAGGTTAGAAAGGATTTAGAGTTTAGTTAGAAGGTTTTTGAAATATACCTTACAAGTTTTTTGTAATACATAAATTGAGATGTGTATGTTATTATTGAGTATTTTATTGTTTTAGGTACATCCACCGATGAATCATCGGATGATCTGTGCACCGTACAGATTCCTACCAGTTGGCGACCAGCATTTTTAGATTTTACTACCCTTAAATTGTTTTTCGACTTATACCACTCACTCCCAACCACTTTGTCGTCTCTAGCTTTATCGTGTTTAGTTCAAATAGCATCAGTTCGACGATCTTTATTCAGCAATACTGAAAGAGCCAAGTTTTTGACTCACTTGGTCAACGGTGTGAAACACATTCTACAGAACCCTCAAGGTTTGAGCGACCCAGCCAATTATCATGAATTTTGTAGGTTGTTGGCTAGACTTAAGTCCAACTATCAGTTAGGAGAACTCGTTATGGTGGATAATTATCCTGAAGCTATTCAACTCATTGCCAAATTTACAGTGCAGAGTTTGCAGGTATGCTTTATATTTTTTTATTTATCTTTATATGTTTTATTGATATTTGTAAATATTTTACGTTTTGTTTCGAATGCTCGGAAGAGAAAGAACTGTTATTTATTATATGCGCAGTTATATATTTATGCTTTGAATAGTTACTGATTTAAAACTTATGTGACCTTTTATGCACGTGAATTTCGTAGACTTTTTAGTATAAATTGCAAAGAATGTACGAACAGGAATATTTACATCGTATCTAATTTGTCACCCCGTTACACGTATTTCGATTACTTATAATCATAAACCACTAGATGGCGGGCTGGGCAGCTCAAGCTGGTGAGTGTCATTAACGAATATAGATGCTTGTGGAAGGTTACATCTTATTGAAATGATGTTCTTTGTTTCAAACGTAAATAAACAAGGTTTGTACCCAGTCGCTAGAGGAGCTGATAATCAAATTATTTGCGCAAGCCATACAAACTTGTGGCAATCTTTGTGAAAATAAGATTGGTGGTAAAACACGCAGCTATAGCAGCTGCTATGCTTAGGGATGAGGATTCTAAACCCAGAAATAAATACATATATTGTATACTTATAAGAGTAATAAAGAATTAGTAGATAATAACGCTGTATCATAAACACGATTCATTTCAAACAAGCACAGAAATGTTAAAGAAGTTGCAGGATTATACAAGCCTAGAAGAGCTGCGCGTTTGACGACCAAGGCATATTACTATTAGATGTAAAAAAAACTAGACATTTGGCAGAGATATGTGGAAATAACTTTTGCAGATGAGCGACATAATACTGTTAACGATATGGAATGCATTTGATATATTAACATTTTAATGGATATAAATCTAAATAAAACTTTCCGTTGATTTTTGTTTTGAATATTTCAATTTATCAAGCAGACTATTTGTTACGTTATTGTCAAACAAATATTATTCAGAGAAACTTATAGACAAATCCTTTTGTTTAAATGGGATTATAAATAATTGAATAACCTTTTCTTTTGTACAGTGGCTATGAATAAGGATGACTACATCGAAAAAACTAAACTTATGCTTAAGGATAAAAAAACATATACACACTTATTAAGAGATCCAACTACATCAATACAAACATCATTAAATGCCTTGATAAAAACACTTGTTACTGCAGATCAGATCACAAAAGAAGAGGCAAAAAGATTAACTATTTATAATTCATCATTTCCAAAACTATATTGTCTACCAAAGATCCATAAGGCCGATTACCCTCTTCGTCCTATAATAAGCTCAATCAATTCGGTTACCTACAATTTGTCACAATTTCTCTCAGTTATTCTACAAAATGCTTTTGAAGATAACACAGATTTCAATATCAAAGACACCTTCTTTTTCGTAACCAATGTAAGAATTAGCTCAGAGTTATGTACTGATTTCTCTAGATGCAATCCAAATTTCCTAATCTTAATTAAATTCGTTTTCCAAAATACATACTTTTCCTTTAATAATAGCTTTTACCGCCAAATTTTTATTTATAGCTCTAATTGTGCTTGATCATTTAATAGAAACACTTGTCACAAAATTACCGTTCAATCTACCTTTCTTGTACAAATACGCGGATGACATAATTTGCGCTGTTCTACAAGATCAAATACGGCAAACATTACATGTTTTTAACTCCTTCAATAAAAACATAACAATTCACTGTTGAAATGGAGAAGGAAAATAGTGTACTATTTTCTAGACACTAAAGTCATCCGTCAATCTGACAATCGTATCATACTAGACTGGTATCAAAAACCTACAGCATCTGGAAGATTTCTTAATTTCTCATCCAACCACCCAAAAATTTAAAAAGTATAATACTGTTATATATATATATATATATATATATATATATATATATATATATAAGAAACCAGATATAAAAAACTACCATATATCCCTGGTCTAACAAATCAACTAACATCAATATTTAAGAGCTACACCAATACAACAATTAGTAAATATAGCAATTTTAAATGCAACAACTTATTTTCAAAAACCAAAGATAGATAATGCTATTAACAACAAAACAGACGCTAACGGACTTAGTTCCATTTATTGTAACATCTTAAAATCTATCTAATTTATAAAATATATTAGTTTCTGCACGTCACTGATTAAATTGTAGGACAATAAACAAAATCAGGTATTACAATATTTTAGTTGAATTTTAGTTTGTCACTCATGAAGATGTGTTTGTGTTTTAATATTTTTAGTCTGTCACTCAAGATGTTGTGTTTCTGCTACGCTGTTTGAACGAATACATCTGTAAGTTCTTTTATGTTATGTTATTTTTTTTTATTCTATCAATAAATAATTTTTTAGTGCGCTCTTAATAAAGCCATAAACCAAATGGCGAAATATTGAGTTTACGAGAAAAAAATCGTTTTATTTTCTGACCAAAAATCCCGATAATATACATTTATTATATATATATATATATATATATATATATTATATATATATATATATATATATATATATATATATATATATATATATATAAAACTTTCCATTGATTTTTGTTTTGAATATTATGATTTCAATTGTTTGTTAGGTTATTGTCAAACAAATATTATTCAGAAAAACTTATAGGCAAATCCTTTTGTTTAAATGGGATTATAAATAAATAATTAAATACAAACAGAAAATAGTAAACATGCTATGAATAAAAAAAAAATAAAAGTTGTTTGCCTTATATTTTTTATTTGCATGTTATTTTACATTTTGTTTGTTAATGCGTAAAGGAAAATTTACGAAATTATATGTAATATAAAACACAACTAAAGATTGAAAATATATTGAGTAACATAAATATTTTAAAAAAATGACAGCTTAGATCTTTCGGTTCTAAGAACTCCTAATATACTTCTTGAGCTTGCATTCTGAGATATATTTGTTTTAGTCCTTATTTTGCTATTACTCTATCAACAATTTTCTTTAATTAAATTATGATTAACAAAAAATCAAAATTAATTTAATAAAAGCAAAAATATGGCAAATTTCATTGTTCTGGTTAAAAAGTTGCTGCTCGGTTTTTTGAGACGTTATCACTGCGCCATTGTCAGGTTCTCTTTGAAATTGGGGCCTTTAATAGGTTTTCACACTTTTTAAGGTGAAAAGTTGTCTTTGCGTGCTGATCGATTGAAAATTTTTTATCAGAAAAATCTGATACAAAAAGCTGATACATGCGTGTTTTTACCGAAATATGCTTTGAAAAAGGCTTTCACTTGTCTTACAATGAAAATAGTTACTTACAATTTTAGAGCAAGCTTGACGAAATACTTCTCCATCCAGCTTTAATTCAGAAAATGGCTGAATCCAAGCGCTTAGACATCGTCTTATAAACAAATTAACGAAGTCACGGTTACATAATAAAATTACACTATAAATGCACTTTTAAAATTCGCCTCATTACACTCGTTTACACTGTTTGGCACGAAAATCATAAATGGAACTAGAGTAAATTTCGGAGATTCATACAGCTACTTACATCTAAAAGCTTTATCGACACTTTCGCCCTTTTTGGATTTTGGAAAATCCCGTTCCACCAAAAGTGTTTATGTATGTTTCATTTTGTTTGTTTATTAAGAGTTATTAATTATTTATTAGTTTACCTAAAACTTTTTATTACATAATTAGCAGATACGCTCAAAATTATTTAAAGAAAAAAATTACGCTTTAATTTATTTATATTTTTATTATATTCTGGTCTCTAGTTATGACTAGGATCTGCAATCAGATTTACGATATCGGCGAGTCTTTGCTTTCAATTTGGTTTAGAAATATTCAAATCCATGAGGTTACTTTCTAAATAAGTTTAAGCTTTTTAACAGTTACAAGTTAACCTAACGTTACAACAATGTTAAGGTTAAATAAGTCAAAAATTGATTTCGTTGTTACATAAAATGTACATCGTTTTACTATCTTTCAATATTACATTGTAAGCATTCTTGTTACTTTTAAAATAATTTAACATATAAAATTCCGTGACCACTTACTTTATCTGTCCAGTTCTGTCAAATCAAATCTGTCCATCCAAAAAAGGGCGGTCTAGATGGCAGTGTCACTTGGATGCAAAAGTTCTAGCTCTGTGCATGGTTTCTCCAACAGAGGGCAGATAAGTAAATGAGCTGGATCATATTCACACTGACGACCTAAGCCAGCAGGTAATAGTCCATGCTGGTTTTACACTTGAGCACTCCCGACTCGCAGGCAATTGAGGTTTCTCCACATAGGGTCGAGAAGATCGCTACCAGTTTTTCCGGTGCTCTAAATGTGGATGAATAGCTTTTTTCCATTTGGCAAGACTAATTCTGCCTGGCGTAAATAGATTTATCGGGCCAGGAAGATTTTCCTTGATTTGATTCTTCGTGCTGTGAGCTATTTATCATGGAGAGAATGTCGATGATCTTGAATTTGTTTTTTCATTCCACATCTCTAGCAACTTCTTACCGATATCAGGAGGATTAGAACTTAGCGATGGCTAAGTTCTAATACATACACTCATGATTCTTGAGATGACTCGTTGATAGCTACACATACATGTCTATTATGTACTAATGCTTCCCACACTAATGCAGCATATTCTGCTAGCGAGACGCGAAGTTCAATTGCCGGTGCTCGAAGCGTGGAAGGGTGTGCGCCACACTTTTGGTTGACAAGTTTGCGCAGAATGTTGTTTCTGGTTATTAGTTTACATTTTAATTTCAAATAATGTTTTTTGAATGGCAATTCTTAAGATATTTAAGAATGCGAATTTACTTAAGATATTAAGAATGCGATTCTTAAGATATTTAGTGGACAGACAGTGTTAAAGGGCTTGAATTTTATGACACTAGTCACGTTATAATCATCATGCCAGCAGGTCTTTTACGTTCATCAAAGTCTGTTGCAAATGAGTAGGTTAAATTCATAGAACATGAAATAAGAACTTATCAGTATTTGTCATCAGATATATCATCAATGTCGATAAACTAGATTTCTTAACTAAAATGAATGTATAATATATGTATATATATATATATATATATATATATATATATATAAAAACTTTCCATTGATTTTTGTTTTGAATATTATGATTTCAACTGTTTGTTACGTTATTGTCAAACAAATATTATTCAGAAAAACTTATAGGCAAATCCTTTTGTTTAAATGGGATTACAAATAAATAATTAAATACAAACAGAAAATAGTAAACATGATATGAATAAAAAAAATAAAAGTTGTTTGCCTTATATTTTTTATTTGCATGTTATTTTACATTTTGTTTTGTTAATGCGTAAAGGAAAATTTACTGTTGTAAAATGTTGTTGAAATGTTGAATTTATTTCCTATCCTTTTAAGTTTTTCTGATAATCCTTTTATGTACAGTATTGTTTATTTTCCTCATATTATTCCTTGTGTATGCTGTAGGATCTCGTTCTAAGTTGTTCTGTTCTATTCGATCGATTGTTGAAAATTCCTTATTTATAAACGATAAAGGATAATCATTTCTTAATAAAGCAGATGTTAACAAATGTTTCTCCTCCAAGAACGAATTTTCGTTAGAACAAGTAATTTTGGCTCTATCATATAAGGATTTAATTATTCCCTTTTTTACATTAATATTGTGATTTGATTTGAAATTTAAATATCTATTGGTGTGTGTTGGTTTTCTATACACCTGAATCTCATATCCAGTATCGTTCTTAGAGATTAAAACATCCAGGAAAGGTAGCGTGTTATTATATTCCTTTTCCATGGTAAATGTTATTGTCTCTTCTTTATCGCTTATATCATTTAGGAATGTGTCCAACAACTCTGATCCATGAGGCCATATTGAGAATACATCATCTACATACCTCCACCATACTGTGGGTTTGAAATTTTGTTTAGAAATGATATTTGTTTCAAATTTTGTTTCATTCCAGAGTTCTGCTCTGCTTGTAAAATCTTGCCATTTGCTTGACCGGAAATACTTTCCCAGTGTAATTTATGTTGTGTTCGAATGTTTTCGAAGCTGTTTTCCGATTGTACACGGTTTCTAACACTCCTAAAGCCGGCTCTGCATGTAAGTTTTTTTGTAGGTTATCCTCTTCTGGAAAGTTCAGGAGCCCTTGAATTGCCGTGTATTACCTGATGATTTGGAACCGATATCAATGTGACACTATTATGTTCTGTCAGTATCGGAAGTTCTCAACTTTTCCATATTTGTCTAAAGTCTACTTAGGGCTCCTGAGAATCACCATATCCGCTTGACTAGCTGTCCATATACAGGATGTTTCAAAAAGGGATGTCATAAATTAAATCACGCATTTCGGGGACAAAAATAAATTGACTGAATCCAACTTACCTTAGTACAAAAGTGTACACAAAAAAAGTTACAGCTCTTTGAAGTTACAAAATAAAAATTGTTTTTTTGCATTATCTCCTAAACTACCTGACATTTTGTAATAAAAATGGACAGCCTGTATTGATCCGCATAAGTTCAAAAGCCCTCGTGTTAATTTCTCTTCTAAATATTACCGCAATACAAGATTGCAAACAGTCCATAATATCCCGTTATCATCTTACCCTTATAACGATGTGGAGGAAGTAGGGCCTCCGTAGCAGCTGTTGTTGTGACCCGTGGAGCCCTACCAATACGAGCAAGTTTTTACACCTCGTTTAATTTGAAGATTAATGCACCTTTGGTCACCATATCACTGAAGCTTATGTCTGGCTTTAAATCACACATTAAGATATTCACCGCTCTCTTGGTTATTTGTTCTATCTGCTGATTCCAAGTAACCCTTGAGTTTAATATTACCCTAAAGTACTTTAATTCGCTCATCAGATTTATATTTATACCATTCCGATTTAGGGGATCTAATCCTTATAAGTTCCTCCTGGTAAATTTGATAATTTTAGAATTCTAGAGGCTTATCGCGCTACATTTTGAAATCCATTCTGTAACTACAGACAAAGACTGTTGCATTATAGATGACCAGATTCCAGAATTACCCTCAGAAGGAGGTTACAGAACCTCCAGTAACGTTTTATATATCACACAGCTTTTCAGGATGCAATGTATCCATCTGTAATTTGTTTCTTCTATTCCTTTCACTGAAACCTTGTTATTGCTTCTTAGGATGAGGAGGGCTGGTAGGTTCACTTTGAATTCGCCACTCGATTTGAATTTTAGTCTTGATAATTTAAGTTTCGTTCTTAACTGAAATGGTGGTATTGTATTTGTATATTTTTTCAGATGTGGCAGTTTGCACCTAACAGCGTTCATTACCTACTCAGCCTTTGGCAGCGGATGGTAGCTTCAGTTCCCTACGTTAAGGCGACCGAACCTCACTTACTAGAAACCTACACTCCCGAAGTAACCAATGCTTACATCACCTCTCGCCTTGAGTCCGTGACGGTCGTAGTACGCGAGGGACTCGAGGACCCGCTGGACGATTTGGGAATGGTTCAGCAGCAATTAGAACAACTCTCAGTGATAGGACGGTGTGAATATCAAAAGACTTGTATGCTGTTAGTGCAGTTATTTGATCAGGCTGTGAGAAGGTATTCCGAATTGTTGGGAAACCCTAGTCAGACGTTGGAAATAACTATTCACGAAGGTAAGTTTATTGAAATTACATTTAACTTTGTTTTGGTTGTAATAAAAGAATTGTTCTGAAGATATTTTTTGTAAAATTTTACTTAATGTATTTTACTTCTGATAGTTACACAGTGAGTCGATATATTTGAACGAATCCAGTGGACTAACGATTTGATTTTGAATAATTTAGTTTACGTCATTTATAGCCTGGTTATTTGCTGCTAAAATTGTTCGTTCACTCAACGAATTGTGATTTGTGGTTAGCAATAATGTTCGGTATAGTGGAATAGTGGGTCGACTAAAGGTCGATTCAGACACATCAGTCCCGCCACAGAACCGGTCCTGTTTGGTCACAGAACTATTAATTATCTGACAGCTGGGAAACTGTTCGTCGCCTGATGAATGTGAATGCCGGCGCCATATTTCTATTAAATAATATTTTGTATGACGGATTGTTCGGTTCGGCGCCAGGACTGTGACTGATGTGTCTGAATCGACCTTAAATCTGGGGTAGCCATTCTGCCCTATTCCCCATTTTCCTGCTATCTCAGGATATCATCTTTGGGTGCTGAAAGTCAAAATATACGTATAGTCTGATTTTACATCTTTATTGTTGACACACTATTTACAATTTATAATTAATGGCTATAGTGCCATATAACTTTCTTATGGAAATTGAAGTTATCATATTTGATTTGTAAGTCTTCTATTTCTTGGCATTTCCAGCGAAATAAGTCTCTATAGCTTCTCTTATTTTTCTTCTTATTTGATTATGCAGCTGTTGATACTGAGTATTAATATTATTTTGCCTTCTTCTGTCCTCCCATCATTTCCAAGACTTCTTTTTTATTATGGTTAAACTAAAATAAATATCTTCAGATAATTAACAATTTGGTTTAAACTGTCTCGTGTTTAGTTTAACTATTTAACAGTTTATTATTAAAGTGTTTAAATTATTATATTAACAAATTTACTTCATAAACAAAAAAAAATAGATTTTAAATAATTAAGGCTGTTTTCGCAGTTATAGCATACTGCGATTTGAAGTGGGCGTATCACTTACTTTTCTACACTGCTATGTCAGACCCTACGTGACTTCCTAATAGCGTTCTAATAGTTTGGATGTTTATTCAGTGGCGCCGGCCCACGGGTTGTTTAAAATAAATGCATTATTCTCCATTCAAATTAGTTTTGTCGGAATACTTTTTTTAGATTAATTATCGTAGATAATGTTTTAAAAAGAAATAATCACATTTTTAATTTATATGTCTTAGCTAAACATAGTATTAAATAAAAATTTGTGAAACGTGACTGCAAAAAACACCATGGTGTTTATTTATAATAAATTTAAATTTAGTTATATTAATATTAATATATAATTAATATTTTGTTAATATTTGTTAGAGAAAACTGATATTAGCGTAATAAAAATTAAACAAAAAATATTTTTATTTATCTATAAAAAATTGGTACCCGCGAAACCATCATAATAGTAAATGTATTTATCTGGCAAGTATTTCGAGGCGACGCACTGCGAGGAAAAAGTTCTCTGAATGGAATATACATTATTTTAATATATTTATAGGTTGCAGTTACATAAGAAAAGTATCCAATTGATGAATAAAACACAAATCGTGGATAGTTATTTCATCATATCAGTGGCATTTCAGCTCGTCATGAGCCAAAGGCTTCTTCAGAACAATCTTCCATTCGCCCTTGCCTCTGGCAACGTTCTCCATGCTTTAACTCTGATGGATTTTAGATCATCCTCTATGTTATCTTGATACATAAGTTTTGGTCTTCCTCTGGATCGTCTTCCCACTGGTCCTCTTCGGTCGAAAATTTTTCTGATCGTTTCATCTTCATCTCGCCTAATTACATGTCCTATCCATCAAAGGCGTAAATATAATTGTAATTTAATAAATTTAACAACGTCAGCTACTACACCTGAAGAAGCATCGTAGTTTACTTTATACGATCTTTTTGACCAAGCACCATCAGCTGTAACGGTTATTAACTCATTTCCGTCGGAATGTACTTCACCAATTTCTTTGGCTAAAGCTAATTCCTCCCGTCCAGCCTCTTCTAAGGAATCACAAAGTGTTTGGCCGATGATATCTGCAACTGTTTCCGTATGTTTTGCATACTGCCTGTAGGAAATCACAGGTATATTTAATGCAGCGTGCTGCTGCTGTATGTCTGCATAACCAGAACCATTCAAGTTCAGTGAATTGTTACCAGAATCCTATGTTGCTATCTCCTTTTCAATATTCCACATTTGACATTTAAAAGTTAATGTACTTATCAATCCGTCCATTTTTTCTTTGATAATCTCCATATTAGAAAAGTTGCATGAAGTTAAATAAAAGCTTTTAAAAACGGTTGTAATATAAATAATAAATACTAAAGCAGTGCAATTGCTCTCCTTTTCCTTGACATAGGACGTTTACTGGGACTCATTTTTATCTTGTCTCTTATAACTTATATCACTAACCTAATGTAATACTTAAAAATACGCGTAAACTAAAGAACTTTTAACTTATACCACTACACTAATAATATATTACTTAACATACACGTAAACTAAATAATTTCAATGTTTTCAAAATAAATAAGAATACTGTAAACTGTAAAAACTAAGCAAGTTGATAAAGAAAATACAAGAATGAAAGAACTAAAATGGATTCTAATTCAAGCGAACTAACTGACCGTACCCATAGAGAAATAAAAATAAGACCGTACCGTACGCTCATGTGATTTGACGTCACTAATGCGATAACGATCAAGCTCAGCGACAATGATGAGGAACACGTTTCACTATTAGATTTCAGTATTTTTTAGCAATTTTCTTCAAAGTTTGAACAGAGAACTACGAACGCAGAGAAGCGACACTCCTTTGATCTTGCGTGGGCAAGCCGCCAACGAGTGAAAATGACAGGAAAGCACCTTATTTTTTAATAGTCAGTGGGCATATTACACAATATAAATTCTTAAATAAAATTGAGCATTTATGTTGACTTTCAATAAATATGAAATATTGCACTGAAAAATAATTACATGCAGGGCCGGCTTTTGTTGACATTCTAAATGGTGTAATTATTTTTGATTTACAAAAGGTTGCAAATACATCGCACAACGCAAAGTAATGGTGAAAATCGTATTGATGGAACCATAGATGAAAATACTTTTTTGTTTATTCTGATGTTGACGTTGATAATACAATAATACACCGATTCTTTTTGGCTTGTGTTGATACAAGATATAATTTATTTTTTATTATATTATTTATTATTATATTATTTATTATATTATTTTTTTTGACAATAAGATTATCTTCACAATGTAGTTCACAAATCCTATAACTATTATAAAGTAAATCCATTTTTAACAATAAATCTTCTCGTCTGCAAGCTTCTATCCACATTTTGGCACTACAAATTTTTAACAGAACAAATTTTTAAACAAGAATTTTTTGTATTTATAAATAATACTTCATTACTTACAACTATAAGAGTATTAGTATATTCTCAGTGTATTGTAAGTAATGAAGTATTTAACTTTTGTCAATATCTCATCTTAATAAATTTACAGTTTTCTCCTAATTAAGTCTCAAAATTGTCACTAAATATTGAGATATACAATAAATAAAGTTTTAATATTTTTTATTTGTAATTCCCATTTAAATATTTATTCCCTAAATATGTTGTATACTCCGATCCATATATTTGATCTTTGTTATTTATATTTAACGAATTAAACATTGACAGACAACTTTTGTATATAGCAAAAAGTAGATGAGCATTTAGTTTTTTTCATAATTTAATGTAAGTTTGTTTGGTGAAAAAGACAGCAAATATTTGAAGTTATGTTAATGTAAGTTTGTTTATTTGCAATCATGTTTTTATTTTGAAGTCTTGTTCTGTTATAATTTTAAGATTTTTCCAATTTTCGATCTAATTATGTTTCCAACAATTTTTTAGTTTGAGTATTTTAGGAATTTCTTTGTTTCGTTTAAATCAAATATTCTCGTGTATAAAACCCTCTATATATTTTTATTCCTAAAAATACTATATTCGTATTGTTGTCTGCGAGCGCTTTCACACCAGTAGGCCAACATCTGTGTTGATTTTTTGACCTGAGCCTTCGGAGACAATAAATTTAATGTGTGTTCGTAGTTCTCTGGTTTTTATTCTGAACTATCCCTTGGCAAACCAAAATTTATTTTTTTTATTGCTTCACTTTACGAGAGCTCGGGCGGACACGTCGGTGTCGGCTTACTCAAAGTCAAATTAATACTATTATGTAATAACTAATAATAATTACAAAGCAATAGTAATTACCTGTTATTATTCTTAGGAAATCTAAATAAACTTATTCCTTTTCCTGTCACAGATGAACATCCGCGAAACGCACAACAATAACCAGAAGACATTTTAAATACTTATAAATTAAACTTTTAACTATAAACTATAACTATAAACTTATATATTTTAACTTATATATTTTAACTATAACTATAAACTATAACTATAAACTTTTAACTACTAAATAATTAGATAAAATGGTCAAATGCACTTGTATCAGACTTGTATAGTCGAGAGTTTACCACAGATGCCTACGGACTATCGTAAGCAACTTAAAGTTGAAGAAAACGCACGTGTTTTTGACAGTAAAGCACCTTATTTGGGTCATGCGTATACAGAAAAGAGACACGAATTCCGGGGCTCGTGTCGCTTCTCTGTGTTCGTATGTTCTCTGGTTTGAATACGCTTTTCTCGATTATTACTGGACACAGAAAGGTGAAAAAAGAATCAACGATTACAGAAAAAAAAAAACTCTTTCAACTGATGGGCGTGAAAAGTTTGGTTATAATAGAACGTTAAACAGTATAATCCAATTTTTCAACAGAAAATTCAAAAAAATAAAAAAAGTAAAACCATCAGTTTAAAGGCAAACATAATTTCGTATAACATGTCCCAAATTTCGAGACATTTCGTCGGTAAATAACAGAGAAAAAATTTTGGTGCACCGATAAAACAGCCTTAACTGAACTTTGTTTTATATCTGTAGATAACACTAACAAATATTATTATTTTTTTAATAATTAATCTGCTATTCCGGGCGTAGAAAATTCAGCAAATCAAGAATAATGACAATAGATCCAATCGTACTTGAGTAAATGGTGTAACTAACACGTTTATGACTTTCTTTTATTATAAAACATCTATTTTTTTGTGTTTTAGGTCAGTTAACGTGGTTGGTGTATATCATAAGTTCAGCAATAGGTGGTCGAGTTTCTTTTAACAGTAATGAAGAACATGATACTATGGACGGCGAATTAGTATGCCGTGTCTTACAATTAATGAATCTTACTGACTCCAGGCTAGTGCAGGGTGGCTGTGAAAAATTAGAATTGGCTATGTTGAGTTTCTTCGAAGCGTTTAGGAAAATCTATGTTGGCGATCAGGTGCAAAAGAATTCTAAAGTTTATAGAAGGCTATCGGAAGCTTTGGGACTGAACGACGAGCCTACGGTTCTTAGTGTATTTATTAGGAAAATGTAAGTAAAAAATTTGCAGTTAACGTATGTAAACAAAGTATTGATTTATCAGCATCCTATTGCTATCCAAAGATATGGACATTTTAGGATTAAACACTGAGCATTATCTAGCAATCTATTCGTTAGTATAATAATAATAATAGATACTGGTAAGTTTTCAGAATCTTTTTCAGAGAGTTTCGTCTATAGGAATGTTTGTAAAAAGTGAAACGATATCGATACTTACTAGAATGTCTGATGGTGTGATAGGGTATTGTTTAAGAAGTTTGATGAAATAAAAAGAATTTTTGACGAAGAATGAAGCAATTTCGGCGAGAGGTTGTAGAGCTTTGACCAATAATATTGTGTATTATGTTATTTTGGGTAGGCCATATATTCGAGGTGTTCTGGAAGACTTTTCACGAAGAATTAGCGATTGATTTGTGTCAACAGGAAGAGAGGTTTTATTGATAATGACTTTTGTTGTTTTTGGATTATTAGGAATTGGTCTGTAGTCTGAAGAATTAATGATATTTGAGAGTATATTCATGTAAGAAAAGGTGTTTAGCACGACGGTGGCATTGAATTTATCGGCGGGAAGAATGGCTAGATTTGGATTTTTCTGAAGTTCTTTTAGGACTTTTTTCTCGGTAGACAATTCGATGTAAATATCAAAATCGAATTGTTTTCTAATGCCCCTTTGTCCGATTCTTCTCGATCGACGATGGTAAATACAATAAAATGTTGAAATCATGGAGTAAAATTATAGTTTTATTGACAGATACTAATGATTATACGCTAGTTGTTGGTTAGGTAACTTTCTATATTAGACTGCGCTCAAATGAGCTTAAATCCCCAATTTATAATTTCACAAATAATGTATACCTCAGCGCAGAAGTTAATGCTTCTATCACACTAACAAACTTTGAACTATGAGCTTACAATACAATTGAATCTAGGCCGTTATTCACTTCAGGAAGTTCAATTAGAAAATATATTGTTAAACTGTTTTTTCGGGCTGTGAGGCCTTTGTCTTCTGAGAGATTAGCTCTCGACGTTTCGCCAACACTAGGGGTTGGCATCTTCTGGAGATGTTAATGCTTCGCTTGTAAGCATAAACTGACGCTGTCTTGTACTACGGAGGTAATATTAATATTTCCCACTCGTTTCCCCTCCACTGGTTCCGGCTTGAAGGGCGTGTCGTTGTTTGTAGAACATTTTCTGTCTTCGTGTTTGGCGGGAAGGGCGTTTGTGGATTTTAATATTGGTATCCATGTCTTGTTAATCCTTGGTATCGGATTAAAATTATTTGGGTGCTTATATATTTCCACCGATTCCCGATACAACCGTGGGTAGTACTGTGAAGTGTTGTCCAGCATCTGTGTTTCTTCAAATAGTATCCGATGTTCTCCGCTTCTCAAAGCGTGTTCGCCAACGGCAAATTTGTCGATATGTCCTAAACGACAATGGCTTTTATGTTCGATTATTCTTGTGTTTGTGTGTCTTTTTGTGGTTCCCACATATACCATTCCACATGTGCATGGTATTCGGTATACTCCGGCCGTTGCTAATGGGTCACGTTTGTCTTTCACCGATCTTAAACAATCCTTGATTTTCCTTGTGGGCTTGAAAATGGTCTTTACGTTGGCTTTCTTAAGTATTCGCCCAATTTTTTCCGTTACCCCCGATATATAAGGCAAGAACGCTTTGCCCATTCTGTTTCTTCGTCCTTTCTTCTAGAGACGTTGTTCATCGCCTTAGTGGGCTTCCCATTCCTACTATGCCCGGTCGTAGTCAATCTTTTCATGGAGCATTTAGAGAAGAGGGTAATTGACTCCTTTTAACCTTTTACTTAAGCTTGAATGGCAATGATCGAAATAGATCGAAATAAGCTAAAATCCAGAAAACTGTCCCTGCTTCCAGGTCTCTAATATCAGTCGACCTTGAGACAAACAAATGGCGGGAAATATATGGGAATAAAGCACAGAATCTTACATTCATATAGTACTCCATCTTAGTCAACTGGTTTCAGGGTTTGATTTGAATCATAAGACATGGGTGACATTAAATAGAATCCGTACTGGAAGAGTAGATGTGCTGACACCCTAACAATGGGGAGTAGGATTCACTCTTCAGATTGTGACTGCATGACAAACCCTACTATACCTTATTTCTGAATGTCTTCCCCGAGCATATACAGAGCCATGGAGTCACTTCCTTGAAGCAACACCTGCAGCACTAAACTGGATACATAGTCTCGACATTAACTTTTAATAAATCATCATCATCAGTGGCATTACAGCTCGTCATGAGCCAAAGCCTTCTTCAGAACAATCTTCCATTCGCCCCTGTCTCTGGTAACTCTTCTCCATGCTTTAACTCCGATGGATTTTATATCATCCTCTATGTTATCTTGATACCTAAGTTTTTGTCTTCCTCCTTTACACAACGTCAGGTTCCCCAAAACTTCTGTATAGCTCAAAGTTGTAGCGCCTACGCCACAAACCCTGTTCTTGGACTCCTCCATATATTTTCCTTAGAATTTTTCTCTTGAAACGTTTAATCAGTTCTCAGTCGTTCTGTGTAAGTGACTTTTAATAAATATTATGTGTAATATTTGATTTTCATGTAAAGTTTATAAGTTTATAATTTATAACATTTCCTCTTCGTGTGTGTTACTCAAAATAGATCTTCATGAAAAAATAATTAAATTATAACTTTCTTATATTTTAAAAATACTATTTATTTCTTTTATAAAGTAAGAATTCATTTTAATTATTAAAAAAGCGTCGCAAATTTAAGCACGCTATGTAATTAGCGATTCTAATCACGTTAAATATATTTGCAGAATTACCAATCTGAAGTATTGGGGGCGTAGCGAACAAATAATAAGTAAAACTCTACAACTTCTTAATGACCTGTCTGTCGGCTACAGTTGTGTAAGAAAACTTGTTAAACTTGACGAAGTTCAGTTTATGTTGAACAATCATACAAGCGAGCATTTTCCTTTCCTCGGAAATTCTGTAGCCGTTACCGAAATGCGATGTAGATCCATGTTTTATACTTCTCTCGGTAGATTGCTTATGGTCGATTTAGGAGAGGATGAGGATCGATTTCATACTTTTATGTTACCCTTAACAGGTGAGTTGAAAAATGTTATGATTAGAAAACTTTTCTTTATTGTCTACAGATAAATAATATTCAATACCATTAAAATAACGCAAAGTGTAATAAACAAATATGACATTAATTTTCGATATGATGAGATTCACATTGATTGGATTAACTTTATACTTTTTACTTATAAATATAAAATTTCCGGTGGTTAGCTGTATACCATAGTTTTAAAACAAAAACATACAATGAAGTAAAAACGTCTAGTCTAATTGGTATAATTTGTAAAATTTACAAAATATCCAAAAGGATTACAATTTTCAAACCGTTTTAGGTCCTATGAGACCAGCATCAATGAAACCTGCAAGTAAGTAATCCCGTTCAAATTTAATGAACAAAAGGCGTAAAATTTTGAGTGTTAATATAAAAACATGTATGATTACTTACTTGAGCATTTGCAAAAAAAACACTTTCAAAACGGTCTAAAAACCTTTGATTTGCATTTTAAATATAACAATTTAAAATAAAGCGACGTAATGTCGATGATTTAAGTAAGATGCAACCATGATACTATGAGTAAGAAGATATTGCGCATAAGTCGTGACGTCATTGGAGAGTTGCACGTTCGAAATGTCAGTTTTTTGTATGTATCAATAAATAATCTTTAATAAATAGTTTGAGATATCCTTATGTGTACGATTATTGTAATTATTAAACCTCTTAACTTATTTTCGTCTAGTAATTTCATCACAGAATGCATACAAATCCCATTTAACTTCAACAAGATTTCAAATTCTACTCTCCGATGACGGCATGCGCGAACACGACCGATTTTGTGCAACGGGAAGATCCTATATTGTTAGTAACATTAACCAAAAATTAATTTATATTTGTAGGTTATGATTGACACCAAATTAATTTATTTTTGTTTTCGATTAAATTAAAGATAATAAGATCATTTTGTTTACATTAGAATGTGAAATTGGAAAATTAGTATGAGGTTATTAGTATTAAAAGCACAGCAGCCTTCTTCTTTCAGAAATTATAGACATCATTTGTTGCAAGGATCAGTATATTCCCTTTTGGTTGAATAATAAATCATCAACAGTATGTCGTTTAATTTATATAACATTTATAATGTAGATCAAAGGTTTTTATACCGTTTTAGAAGTGGTTATTTGCGAATGCTCAATCAAGTAAATATCCATACATGTTTTTATATTAACAATCAAAATTTTAACCCTTTTGTTAGTTAAATTAAAGTGGGATTACTTACTTTTAAGCTTCACTGAGGATGGTCTAATAGGATCGAAAGTGATTTAAAAAGTATAATTCTTTTAGATGTTTTCATAATTTTATAAATTATACTAATTGCACTAGAAGTTTGTACGTAGATTTCCTTGTTTTATACAGTTTGTATTTAAGAGTTTGAGAAGAGACAGATGACATAATGTGCTCACAACTAGGCAATAAGTCTTTCAGGGGGAGGTGGAATAAGTTAAATACATTTCTTTCAAAAATAAATATAAATTAAGAAATTGTCAGATATTTATAAATTTTCGATAGTTGCTTTGACATTTGACTTACTTAGCCTCAATCTTCTGGGCAAATAGTCATATTTTGAGTGAAATTCTGAGGTTAAAGATGTTGGTGTCAAATTCTGATCTTTATGTACTCATACAGGTAACTATAGATGATGTACCTCTGACCTTCTATTAATTCATTAATGTTGGTATATTTTTATTGCTGACTTCGTTTAGTATTGCTAACCAGAGGCTGCTGTTGATGAGTTTGTTGCACATTTTTCTTCATTTAGTAAGATGAAGGTTGTTTCTTTGATTTTATTGTTTTTGTTGTCTGTTTCTCTCATGGCTATTGATGCATCTTTTCATTGTACTCTGTGCTTCTTTATCAGGCATGTTTGAGTGAGGCAAGTCTCTGTTTTAATGTATAATTCATGCTTTTTTATCCTAACACTTGAGTGTCTTCAGGTTTCTCCAAATAAAAATTGTTGCATTAACAAGGTATTTAATACATACAGTTTTTTTATCTGTCGTCTTTATTGTTGGGTTTGATTTTGGAAAGAATATATCTCTATCTAAAATATATGTTACTGTGAAAGTTCAAAATTCCCTTTCCTCCGCCAAGCACGTATTTTCATATTTCTCATATCTTGGTCTATGTTATCTAGGAATCTTGTTCTAGGTCTTCCTCTTCTTCTTTGACCAATAGGTCTATCAAGGAGCGTTTTTCTAGCTGGGTCGGTTTGCTCCATCCGCATTACATGGCCTACCCATCTCAGACGTCCTATCTTAATGTGTTTTACGATATCTGGTTCCTGGTATATTCTATAGAGTTCGAAGTTGTATCGTCTTCTCCAGACACAATTTTCATTTACTGCTCCATAGATTCGCCTTATTTAAAAGTATTAAAACTATGGAACAGCTAGAGGCCTATTTGAACACTTTTCAAGAAAATTTGATTGACACAGATCCGCAAACTAGCACGCCTATATATCAAACACCGACTGATTCGCAGTGTAGTACTTTTACATCTCAAGAAGTAGCCGTTTCGCAGCTCAGCACGTCTTCATCTCAACTACTGACTGAACAGCAAGAGCAAATTTCTTCAAAGCGAGCGGCTGCAAAAACATACCCAACAAATTTTTTTTTACTTGATAAAAAATACATGTTTTACCATACACCAAAAATGTATACTCGACAATGAATGTCGACATTCACCGGTGAACGTTAGAAAATATGATATTTAACCAATAATTCGAACATACGTCCAGTGACTTGGTGAATGTTGGCATTCACTGGTGTATCTCGACATTCACTGGATTTCGGGCTTTCACAGTAACATATATATTATTGCTATATAGCTATCTATTTACTTATTCAGGCATTTGACTGTAATTTATTATTATTTTTTAATAGTTATGATAATAATTCTAAATAAGCAATATTTTGAATGATATATAATCACAAAACGTAACTAATATTGTTTTATACAACCCATATAATCTATGAACATCACAACGATCATCAAAATATGTAAAACTTCAATTCAATATAAATTCCCATTCACTGCTTTTAAACCATTGTTTTCAATTCATCGTTATAAACATAGATTGACAACATAGTTCATTATACCAACATTGTTTATCTTTGGTGAAATGAAATTAATTGCCGGTCTAAAGTTAGCTAATTGTAAATATTTTAATGTTTTATCAATATCGTATTGTTGTTATTAACAGTTTTTTTATATTTTTAGCATCTTTTGAAAGCATAGGAACTTTATTAGCCTCAGCAGATTCTCCGATGTTCGCCTCAGACGAAGCCAAAAAGGCCCTTATAGGATTAGCCAGGGATTTAAGGGGATTAGCCTTCTCGTTTAACACCAAAACGTCGTATATGATGCTTTTCGATTGGATGTATCCTTTTATTATAATTATAAATATCTAACAAAATTACTAAGTTACACATTATTAGGTAACAAGCAAATAACTGCGGTTCTACGGTAATTAAGAAAATAAATTTTGAGTAAACAGCCTCAATAGGACAGTGGGTAATATGTCTGCATTCCAAACCAAACTCCAATCTAAGAACAATTTGAAACTCTTTTTCTTCTTCGATGGCGACCGTCAAACATTGGTTTAACGAGTCATGCTTATGTGTCTCAAAAACGGCTACCACAGTGGGCAACGTGACAAGAATCCACGATCTCGTATTGGCAAACCGCCTATTGAAGGTACGTGAGATAGCTGTGAAAGTACGCATCTCGCAAAAGACCGCGTGGGTCATATTCTGCATGACACATTTTGGGCATAAGAAAGCTGTCGGTGTCATGGGTGTCACGTTTGCTCACTTCAGACAACAATTTTAATCATAAGACCATTTCACCACAGCAGTGTTTGACGCTGTTTAAGTTCTGTGTCGTTTCGTGACCGTCGACGAAACATAGATCTAGTTGTATACACCAGACACCAAGAAATAGTCAAAGCAGTGGACTTACCCGGCGAAGAGTGTCCTATCAGCCGGAATGGTGATGACCACCGTTTTTTGGTATTCATAAGGTGTGATCTACATCAACTACCTTGAGTCGGGCAAAACGAATTTCAGAAAAAACGGTACTATTGGGCGAAGAAAATGTGCTCTTTCACCATGAAAACGCACCGGCTCACACCTTTACCGTGGGCACGGATAAATTTGTTGAATTGGGCTACGAACTGCTCACGTATTCACCAGATTTGGCCCAGTAAACTTCTTTTTGTTACCAAACTGAATAAAGTTACTCGCCGGTCAGAAATTTAATTGAATGTGTATCGATCTAAAAGAAGGCTATGTTGAGAAATGCATCGCCACTTTTCCAAAATCTTCATTTTTATTTTGTAGGTTGACAACTTCGTATCGGACCTCCCTCGTATGCTACCAATTTACCATCACATTATCTTGGCCATGTCTCATTGTGTTAAAATTAATTTTACTTAAAATAGTAGGTACTGTTTTTGATTAACGTCTGAACCAATTGAGCGACATGTGCTTTGCATATTGATATATTTCCTATCATTGAAATTTTCATGGCTCAAACGTAAAACTAATATTTTTGCTAGAAATAATATTTCTTCAATAAACTTCATGTTTTGTTACACTGTTACATCATTATAAACATGAAGTACTCTTTTTGTATAGATCAAATAAAAATATCTATAAGTGTAGAAACACAACCGACTGCCTACATTCTAGTACATATTACTGTGCGTTGTTCAAGCACGAATTTTTTCTAGCGTTTTTCTTAACAAATATTTTAGCTATCCGAATTATACACCAATATTACTTAGAGCTATAGAATTATGGTACCACGATCCCCAAGTTACAACTCCAGTTTTGAAGTTATTTGCTGAATTAGTACAAAACAGATCGCAACGGTTGCAGTTTGACGTTTCCTCTCCTAATGGTATATTATTATTTAGGGAAGCTAGCAAAATTATTTGTAGTTATGGTGAGTATATTCTAGTCGTTATATTTTTGTGGTACTTTTTTTATTTTTGTCCAACAGCAGTGCATCCAAAACTGCAACAGTTATAGAAAACTGATTACGGATTCAGATTCGGCATTTAATGTTATGTGGGAAAATCGGAAACGCAAGTTTTTACTTTCGGTTTCATAATTAGTTAAACTAAAAAAACCATAGTTTTAAAAAAACTTACCTCAATTTGCAGTGTCCAAGTGGTTAAGGAGATGAACTTCATATCACCTATGGTAACTAGAGCAGTTTTGATAACGAATTGTTCATCCACGTAAAAACTCATCTATTAATTTAAAAAAAATTTAAATCCTTATTTATGGATGTAGGCAGGGAGCCCACATTCTTGTTTAAAAGTTAATGTTGTCGCCCCTCTCATTTATCTTCTGCTTCCATAACTCCATTCGTCCATGGAGTTTTCAACGTTCTACGATATATTAAAAGTTCAATGTTCTTAAATATTTGTTCCTTTAACGTCAACATTTCTAACCCGTACTGTAGTTGTAGCCATACGCAACATTCAACAAACTTCAGTCTCATAGAGGGAGCATTCGATAATACCTCATTTTAATCCATATAAAGAGCACGAGTAAAGAGAAGCATCGAAGCCTCGCTAATACAATGGATTCAGTCAATGCTAAAAACCATAATCCTCCATGGTAGTATTAGAGAGAATCTGTAATTGTGACGGCAGTAAAGGGGTGTTTTCAAGGAGGAGTACTATCGCCCTGCTGTAGTCTGGTCTTGAATGACATTCTCTCTAAGTTGCATGATTCCGGTTTTATAACCTAATGCGGATGACGTAGTTGTTACAATTAGCGACAAGCATGACAAGATTGTATCTAGTGTTATCTCTAGTTTCATGCAAACTGCTTTTAAAAATTAAAAGTTGGTGCTCGAAGGAGGGCTTAAATGTCAATCCCACAGCAAAACGACTATGATACTTTTCAGATGGAGACGTAAATACAATTTATAGGCTCCAATTATAAACGGCATCGCATTAGACTATTTCAAAGAAGTAAAATATCTGGGGATAACCCTAGATCAAAAACTCACCTGGAATCTATCTATCTATCTAATTAGCCTTCTTCGGTCCATCTTTGGACATAGGCCTCCCCAATCCTTTTCCATTCTTCTCTGTCTGTCGCTACAGTACACCTGGAATAGTCATCTTAAAATCATCGTATCCAGAGCCTTGGTGACAAGTTGGACGTGCCACCTGAGATTTGGACAGACTTGGGATCTAAGATCGGAAATGATCCTCTGGTAATATAAAACGATTATTAGACCCAGTGGTCACATACGCATCACCTGTGTGGTGGCCAAAAACACAACAAACACCAAGCTGCAGCGGCTAACTTGTCTGGGAATCACAGCGGCCATGTCAACTCTAGAGGTGATGCTGTACCTTGCAGCCCTGCTTAAGAAGGGGGCAATAACTACCGCCTTAAAACTGCGACAGACACAATTAATGAAACCTAGAGATCTAATTGGCTACCTAAAACTCTTGGAAGAAATTCCATTGGATTCTAAGGACACGCCGACAGATCCCATGCCAGTCAAATTCGACTGCGAAACACCCTTTGAAGTTGTCATAAAAAACCACCGAATAGGTGAAGAAGTTTAACTGAAGTTTAAGTAGAACAGAAATTGGAAGAAGGTTCACTCATATGGTATACGGATGGAAAGGGTCCAATTTCAGGCTATCCAAATCTCTTGGAAACGCCCCAGCTATTTTTAAGGAGAAAATACATGCTGTAGACAATAGTGTTCAAGAATGTCTCAACCGAAACACTCGTAGGGCTAAAGTCTTTATTTTATCACACAACCATCCAAGTCAAAGTTGATTTGGGAGTGTAAAAATCCTTCAAGAAGCTGGCGGAACGCAACAAAGTATCTTTGATGTGGGTGCTACGTCACAAGGTAATTGCAGGAAATGACAGTCTCGCAAAAGAAGAGGCTAAGGCCTATTCCAGGGTCCAGAACCCTTCTGTGGACTATCGAAAGGCCACATCAGAGAGGAACTCTGGGCCTGGGATTCAACTAATATTACATTGGTCTAATACACCATGATAAAGGCAAGCAAAAAGGCTCATAAAAGAGTCGCTTACTGCAACAAACCGCCGTCTCAAATTAAATTCCTAGGAGAGGTCAGTCTAGAACTCTCTGACATAGGAAACAAGTCACCTAGGAAGGTAATCAACTTTATCAGAAGTATTAGCATTCTAGAGTTCAATTAGATTAAGCTATGCACAAAAGATTTCTATAGGTCGAAGTGCGGTGAGGCTACATGGTCTTATCGACTTCAAATAATCTAATCTCAGTCTCAGTGTAGCATTCAGATTTGCCGTCCGCGCAGGATAAGTTGTTCATTATTTGTTGGACGCTTCGATATTATCATAAATTTGGTATTATCAATGTTAATGCCAAGTCCCATTTGTATGAAATCGCTATTTACTACTCTAGTAAAGTTTGTAGCTCTTCCAAATTCTTAGCAATAATTACCGTGTTATTATGTATCGTATCTATTACCGTATTAGTATAATTATTATTTGGCCGCTAATTCTTATTTTCGTCTAAATTACTACAGAGATAAATTGATTCTATACCTCTCTGTTCATGGCATATTGATTTCTCCCATTTGTAAATTACATATAAGGGTTACATATACTTATATTCTTGTTTATTTTTTTTTAATAATCTTTTAGTTTGGTATACATTTTTTTTAAGAAAATAGTTGTTTCCAAGCAAAGAAACAGCGTATATGAAGGTGAAAGTAGTGAAAAGTTTATAATTATCTTTTATTTAGTTACACACTTAATATAATATGTATTAATTTTGTTTTTAGGTAGTAGAATTTTAAATGTAGAAGTGCCCAAAGAACAGACGTATCCTTTGAAGTTGAAGGGTATCTCGATTTGTTTTTCGATGCTGAAAGCTGCTTTGTGTGGGAGCTACGTCAACTTTGGAGTCTTTAGGTTATATGGTGATGAAGCTTTAGATAACGCCTTGAATATTTTTGTAAAATTATTACTGTCAATATCCCAGTCAGATTTATTAGTAAGTATAAATTACTCCATTATTTTATATGTGTTTCGTATTTGTTAAATACAGGACTAGTACAAACATATAAGAATAATTAAAAAAAATCACTTTATGTTAAGTTTTGTAATCAAAATTTATTTTTAACGTGGATTAATGAGCAAGCCAATATGTATAGTAAAACAAATTAACAGATGATGTATCGTGCCAAGCTTTTACTTCATTTATCAGTGGGATTTTGTTTCAACTTGGCGAAACTCGGTAATGTTCACTTATTCCCAGCATTGATATTTCCATATTTCTTTGCATTATATGTATTTTTTGTTTATTCTTTTTTGTCAGCACCTTAGGTTAGGACAGGGAGTACACATCGATTGAAAACTTTCTTGTTTGGACTTCAATATGTTTTAATTTTCCAAATGCTGCCCAGGTAATACCTATTCTTCTTTTAATTTTCTGTGTTTGTTTGTCTCTTTCGTTGTCTATACCATGTCCCAAGTATTTTTACCTAGTTACTCGAAATATTTGTTTTCAAACCGATTATTTTTTTTTCTAAAAATTCTAACAATTTAATTTTTTCTGACTCATTGATATTAACAATTCAGACATATATTATACATTTTTAAGTAAATGACATTGTCAATATTTTTACGTTCCTGGAACGACTTTATTGGAAAATAGTTCATTCCATTACATGAAATTAACCTTAGACCATAAAAACGGATATACACGCCTTGTACCGAACCGTTGAAACAAACACCTTCCGCGAAAGTGACGTCACAATGCGGCAAGAGCCCGCTTGGATTCTTAGCAAAGCACTAGTAAAATTGCCCAATTTTAGATTAATTTTAATATAACTTCAATATTTTGTAAAAAATATGGAAGATACATTATTTAGCAAAGTAGTTAGACATTGCTAATTATCTTTTTTTGTTTTCAGGATTATCCAAAGCTTTCGCAGACGTATTATGTTCTACTGGAGTGCCTGGCCCAAGATCACATGAGTTTCTTGTCGACTTTGGAGCCGCAAGTCTTTTTGTACATTTTATCTTCAATATCGGAAGGATTAACTGCCTTAGGTGGGCACCTAAATCATTTTACAGGTCTGTGCAGCTCAGGGACACAGCAAAAGGCAAAGCAAAAGACACGTTTAGACAAACTTCAATGCAGACCTGAAGTATTTTTAATTTTTAATGGGGCAACCAGTGATCATAATAACATTAATATTCTCTTATAAATATTAACTGCTTTGAATTAACAACATTGTAGGATTCGGTTACATAATACTTACTCATACAAAGGATATTACTTATGTTTTGGCCCTTGTTAACCCTGATAGTTTTCAGGTACTATCTGATGGTCCAACCATAATGTTTGACATTTTTGATATAATCTTTAGCACGTTTTATTATTTGAATTCGTTTTGTGTTGTTTTTGGTCATTCTATAATAGTCTCTCAGTGAAAAATGGACTTTTTCGACGTAGATTGACAAATCAAAAGTGCATTGAGCTATATGAACTCCTGGAAAGTCATAGAAGGTCGTCTAATCGGTTGTTGTATCAGAAAGTATTAATAATGTGTAACAGCTAAATAAATCATGCAAGGAAATTATTTTGAAAAGTAATAAAGCCATTTTCAATAACAATTGACTGTTGGGCCGATAACTGAAGAGTTAAAACAGGAAGCCGGACTTGTTCCGACTCTGCTTAAGAATACAGTCTTTCCGACTGTATGGATTATACTAGGAGAAAAATATTCACCGTCAACATAGATACAACTAGTACCCTAGTACAAATAAAAAAACAACGAACCAAGCAAAATTTGACAACAAACGATGAAAACATTGAAGTTAACAATTCACATACCTGCGTGTATAGATAATTAGTATGGCAACGTTTTGAAATCTTCTCTTCTTAGTTAAACCATGGGTTATACCAATATTATAAAGAATTAACTATCTCAAACTATGAAAACTCACAAAGACTGCACGGGGCAATTTACTTTATAAGAATGAAAAATAGCAGAACGTTTAGTAGAACTATGGTATGGCGTCAGACAGGTGGACCTAGGAAGAGATGTTTAGACGAAGTGAGCACGGATTCTAGAGATGTTGGTGGATAATTTGAGGAGTGCAGCCGAAAAAAGAAATGCTTGGAGGCAAATGCAAGACTCGATTGGGGTTGTAGCACCATTGGAAAGAGAGAGATTTGAATATCCGTCTACTTTTAAATAAGCACCCGTCTTTCTTCGAATACAACTGAATGGTTATCTTATGTAATGACATGTTCTGTAAGGGCTGATTTTTGGCATCTACCCTAGACGACAGTTCCTCTTATGTTCAGTCAAATGAGTTTTTTTACGCTTTTTGTTTTGTTGTTTGAACCGAAATTTCCAATACTCATTCGAACCAACAGATAGATCTGGGGCAGAACATAGCAGCTACAAATAGCGCAGATATTCGAAAAATTGATCAGTAAGTGACAGGAACGATGGGAAGAAACAATTCCAGACGTCTTTCTATAAACCCCGAAAACAGTATACCCTTACAAAACACCAGTTGCGAAAGCTTACAGCTATTCACATTGTTCTCATTTAACAGGTTGACTGCCAGGTGGTCCTATACGACCGACAGTTCGATAAGTACTTCATGCCACGCCGGTCGTATACGACCGATTTGATGCGGTCTGTGATATAGTTCCTGTTATGCCAAAGGTGGTGTAGTGAAGCGCAGTTATTGCAGTATTCGACCGACGTGGCATACAGACGTCGCATATACATAACAGTTTTCATTTTGGCTAAATAAGGGAGACTGAAATGATATTGAAATTTTGACATATCTTTATTTCAAGTAAAAAATATATAACTGTAAAAAATATCCATTATAAACTAAAAGACATACAAAAGTTAAATAAAAACATGAAAGAAATTAAAAATAATTATCGGTTATTTGGATTGTTTATTGAAACAATCTAAACAAAGGTGTGGTTGACCGTCACAAATGTAACAGTAAGTTACTACTTTTTTGACCCGATTTTTCATTTTATCATATGTTCCTTCTTTTTTCACCAAAGTATGAGTTTGCATCGATATTCTTGTAGTTCGTATTTGTTGTTGTTCCCTTTCGGAATCATTCTGTTAATAAATTAAGAGAGACTTTATTACATGCTCTCTAAATTCAGTTATTTTCATCTTTTTATCGGCTAGTTGGTTAAAAATAATGTGAGAATTTACGAGTTATGTACCAAGAAGAAATTCCACAGCTTCCTGTACCATTTCAGTTACTTTCGTAGAGGTGAATTATTACTTGCCATCTGGTCTGACTGGTCTATTGAGAATATATTTGCCTCATTGTATTCCATTACCGCCTGTGGTTTATGAACAACACCACTTCGTCGCTGAATTTCTCGAGTTTCGGTAGTGTGTTTAGTAGATAGTAACAAGACATCTCTTTTATCCTTTCACTTCAAAACGCAACTGCCTCTCGTTTTCCAACCCAAACGTTTCCCCTTTTTTCAATTTTTTATTTATTACTTCTTTTGGGTTTCCTCGACTATTTGCTCTTAGCGTCCCAATATAGTGAGTTTCCTTGTCAAATTAACTGTTAGCTAACTCTAGGCTTGTATAGTAGTTATCAGCTACTATCGTACGTCCTGAATTCAAAAGGCTTTCTGATAGGTTAATCACTACGTTTGTTGATACAGAAGCGTTACCTTTATTTTTTCCTTACCTGCATAAATCCTTATATTTCACGTGTAGCCATTGTCACTACAAAACCTAACTGCACACTCATGCGTCTTTTGCGGTATGTACTGCTTCATTACTAGCCAACCTTGGAAACGAATAACAGACTCATCAATACAGAATATATGTCCTGGTGTATAAACTGCTTAAAAGTTTTTAAGTTTAACTAGCAATGGTTTGACTTCGTGCAAGCGGTCACCATCTGGACATTTGATATTATCAGATAAGTGCCACATTTTTAAAAGGAGCTGAAATCGGTTTCTAGCCATAATTTTCAGAACCATACAATGTTTCTAGAAATTGTCAGTGCTCCAGTATTTGTCAATAGAAGGCAGCATTGCAAGTCCCATATAGCCCACAAGGCCAATAAATTGTATAAATTCTCTGCTGGTTGGAACCCATCGATGTAGTCTAGATTCGTTACTGATACCATCAGTATCGCACAAAATCTGGGTGACGTATAAGTTAGTTTGATTAACCATCTCATCTATAACTTCATCGTCCACGAAAATTAAAAAACAATTATAGGGGGACAAATTTTTTATAAAAGCTGCAGCGTAATTTTTCTGTAATCCAACTTCCGCAGAATAGTTGAAAATCTTTTGATTGTCAATATAAGTTTTTTCCATGAGAGTTGTTCGTACCCATCAGCAGAATTTTTCTGGCTTTGGTGATCTTCATTTTGCTCAGATGATAACATGTTTTGTTGGTTTTGTTGATCGATTGTAACTTGACAAAAAGTCATCTACTTCTTCCGAGGAAATAGCACTATTCGATTCCAAAGGCTGTAGTTTGACAATATTTTTTTAAATTTTCACCCAAAGAGGGTATTTCTTCGGGAATGTTATCCCGGCTTCATTGCTTTCTAAAACCATACCAACCATTATTTTACCGCGACTTCCCATTTTATTTCAAGAAATAATAATTGTTTTTACTATTATCTAACTCTAAAAATAACACGAGCACAATCAATTTACTTGTCTTATTACCAATCATACCTCTACTGATAAAATATTGGTCAAAACAACCACTCAGCAGAATAAGTCTCATCATGAACAGAACGACCGCCTGACCGACCGCTTGGCACCACGGGAATAAGTATGTGGCCTACGCCCCGGCGGTCGTATTCGACCGCTGAGATATTTTTTCAAAAATTGGGACTAATAAATGAAATTGGTGAAATATTAGTAATGGAAGTATTTCAGTTGGTTGCCAGACGTACTTTTTTCAACTTGGCACCATGGACTTTTTTTAAACATTTTTTGTGGCAGTCAACCTGTTAAACTCATTTTAATAAGGTATATTATTGATATTGGTTGCCTCTTATTTTTTTAATTTGACTTCCCAGTTAATATTGGGTACTCCGCAGGGATGCTAAAAGTTTGACTATTATTGTATATGTTTTTTCGTTAGTGTCAACTGAATTTATACATTAATAACTCTACTAGCATTGACATACTTCAACAAAGCAAACTTTATTTTGACAGCTTTTAGCATACAGTTGGCCGTATTTTGTTTTTGAAAATTATGTTTTCCTTGCTAGAAATAACATTCCATGGCATGGATAGTAGTATTGAGCATGCTTTGAACTATTTTGAGCCTATTATTAGGTCTGCATTGATATGTTTTTGACACGTTAGCGCTTATTGTTCTGCACGTGTTGTCGAATATTAGGCATTTACAATACAAAGTATTCAATGACTATTTTATTTTTCCGTGTAGGTGACTTGATAAAGCTGAGAATATGGAAATCTATATACATTAAAAATCTCCAGGGTTCTTAAATAACATATTGTCATATTATTTGTTTTCCCAAGTATTTAAGTGGGTTGCTAAATACGTCAAAATAATGTTCCAAAACTATTTTCTTGTGGCATCTTAAAGTAATTACTATCGTAATGGGAGTAAGCCACAATTGGAGTTTAAAATAAGTTTATTGACGTTTCAATTTCCACGTCAAAATAAATTTAAAGCTCCTTTGTCATCCGATTTACTTCAATATCCTTCAATATTCTTATTTTACTTCTAAATGAAGGTCAATTAATTTTGAAGAATTCTTAGACTATTTATTTTAGCACTTTGTGACTTTTTGAAAATTGTTTGGGTTTTAGCTATGAATCTATGTTATTATTATCTGTGAATTTGATCTTTGCTTAAAATGAAACCATGTTTTGTGATTTCGGGGTAGCTTTAAGTAAATATTGTCTTAAAATATTTGTGTAAAAGCTACTGTGATTTGTGTCTTGGCTTTTCCCGAAAATCATATGTGTAGGTCTATAGTTCCTAAGTAGCTGACTTCAATATATTTTTTATGAAAGTACATTCATAAAAAATCGATACAAGATAGTGTCCATGATTTCC